AATATAGCGGCGGCCAGGAAAATGATAGGATACATTATGAGAACGTTCAAATCCAGAGACCCCCACAGCAATGCTAATACTGTACTATTTATATCGCTGGTGCTGTCCCGTCTTGAGTATTGCTCGGTACTCACTTACCCTTTCAGAGCAGGATAGATATCTGAATTGGAGGGAATACAGAGAACATATACGGCATGAATAGAAACGATAAAACATCTAAATTATTGGGACCGTCTCAAAGCTCTCAAAATGTACTCTTTGGAAAGGAGAGGAGAAAGGTATCAAATAATATATACATGGAAGATACTTGAGGGCCAGGTCCCAAATTTGCACAGCAGAATAACAACATATTGGAGCGAAAAACACGGAAGGAAATGCAGAATAGAACCAATGAAGAGTAGAGGTGCCATAGGCACAATCAGAAAACACTGAACATCAGAGGTCCACATCCGTTCAACACCCTCCCAGCATTAGAAATATTGCTGGAACAAAGGTGGATATATTCAAGAGGCACCTAGGTAAGTTCTTGCAAGAAGTGCCGGACCAACCAGGATATGTGGGCTTGTGGGCCGCTCCAAGCAACAGCCTGCTGGACCAAGTTATCACAAGTCGAGCCTGGCCTCAGGCCAGACCACGGCCCGGTCCTCGACCAGGCCTCCTTTTTGTTACACACTCCCAGGAAGCAGCCCGTAATAGCTGTCTAACTACCAGGTACCTATTTACTGCTAGGTGAACAGGGACATCAGGGCGAAAGAAACTCTGCCCGTTTGTTTCCGCCTCCTCCAGGGATCGAACCCGGAACCTCAAGACTACGAATATAATATTAGTAGTAATATATTGTCGGGCCTGGGTTCGAACCCCCTGGGCAGGAAGGAAACGACTGGGTATACCGCTCGTTAGCTGTTCAACCCCTTGCTCACCCCAGCACAAATTGTGTCTTGAGGTTATCTTGAGATGATTTCGGGGCTTTAGTGTCCCCGCGGCCCGGTCCTCGACCAGGCCTCCACCCCCAGGAAGCAGCCCGTGACAGCTGACTAACACCCAGGTACCTATTTTACTGCTAGGTAACAGGGGCATAGGGTGAAAGAAACTCTTCCCATTGTTTCTCGCCGGCGCCTGGGATCGAACCCAGGACCACAGGATCACAAGTCCAGTGCGCTGTCCGCTCGGCTCCCCAGCCGGTCAAATATGACCGGCTGTCATATTTGGAAGCCTAGCAGTTGAAGGGCAAGGCTGGGTTCGATTCTTTGGTGAATCTCTGGATGACCAGTTGCCAATTTAGCAGTTTCACCGGCTTTCTCATTTAATGGGACGAGAAGGCCTCCGTCCAGGAGAGAGGAATGGCTAAGGGCCACCAGAAAATAGTTCAACGTAATCGCCCGGCCATTGCATCCAGTAAGCTCACCCAGGGCAATGAAGGCGAGAGTGACCGAGTTTCCACTGATAAGGGCCAAAGAGTAAACAGGCTCCAAACCGGATTTACAGATTTATTGATGAAGATTAAGCCACCTAAGAGGAGGCACGGGCATGAATAGCCCCTAACGGATTTACAGATTGATTGATGAAGATTAAGCCACCAAAGAGGTGGCACGGGCATGACTAGCCCGTAACAGATTAACAGTTCAGTGGGTGTAGATATATAGGCAGGAAAGAGGAGAGATGAGGTACAATGTATTTAATGCGATAATGGGACAGTGAGATAATGGAATATTAAGAAGGTATTAATGATATAAATGTTTATCAGTGATCCTACTCAAATCGCCCTTTAACTCATCAATCAAGCGATTTGAGTAGGATCATTGATACACATTTATCTGGTAGGATAGAACAAGGGCACTTTAGTGCGACAATTTCTTGACGTTGCTAAATTAAAATAAAGGTCAATTTAGCAATCCTTACCTTTAGAATACAAAGATCGATCATTCGAACACACCTTGAGCAAATGGGCAACCCAACAGAATCCCACAATATATTAGATATTCCCCATAACACTGACTAGGTATGAACAAAACATATTTATGTACAATACTAAATAGGAAATGTAGATGTTTATCGCTCAGAATGTTTGGTAATATGTTTATTGTTTGTGATGTGTGTCTATGTATGTATTAACACGATGTACTGAACGGGCTGAGAATAGCTTGAGCTACCTCATCCCTTTGTGTGTATTTTACATCAATAAACTTATTTCAATTTCAATACTAAATAAATGCAATACAATAAAGCACACTAAAACATTTGCATGGCAAGACTAAAGAGAGAATCTTCCCACGAAGATGCTGTGTCACGGCACTGAGAACGCCGTAGAAGAGTCAAGGAGGTAAATTGATGGGTGGATGCTGGGGAGGTGATCCCAGGTGTGCACTTTGCTGCTCAATTCTCCCACCCAGTCAAGTTGAAGGTTGAGGACCTCGCGAATAATTGCATGGGTTCCAGCAGGATGTACTTACTACCTGGTGGGGGGAGGGCTATGTGGGGGCGTTGGGTGGGGTAGCTGCGGTAGGGGGGGAGGGGAGGTTGACGGAATGTTGGGTGGAGTGTTGTCAAAAAATCATGAAAGGATATGTGATAGTTCCAGAATTACATAATTGACAATATTTACATGTAATTACTAACGACTTTGGGTGAAATTTACTATTACGAGAGGGGGAAAACTGCCCAGGAAGGAGAATTATTGGTAAAAATGTATCAAGCTGTACAAGTTATAGATCCAGGAACCCCTGGGCGGGGGGTCAGTAATTCGACTGTGATGGGGGAGGGACCTCAATATAAGCCTAACGTGTATGAATACATTCTGGCTGCCTGTCCCCCGACACAATGAATTATTATAATTATAAATTATAATCCCTCAACACATTTCGTTGTACAACGCTCATCGGGAAATTAATTGCACTAGCTTCTGAGGCAATCGGAATTAGCCTAAACACAAAAATATCCGACGTCAAATCTATTTTTAACAGCACAAAGCTTAACCCGAAGCCTTATAATTGTTTAGTTCAGAAACATTTGGCTTAAAACAAATCAAAATCGTGCAAGACACCCCCCCCCCCACCCCCCAAACAGCCTAGGGGGTGGGTTGGTAACAGCTCCCGTCATTGAACTTGAACTAATGTCAACAATGGATGTCATGTGCCAGGATGGCGGCCGGACACAACAATAAATATCCTACCGGAATTTCACATCCCGGCCGCCAGTTCTTTGTATTGCAATGTTTGCGCCCTATTAACCGACAACTTTGCAATACAAATGCGTAGCTTTACATGCGTACATTGCTAATTATAAGGCTGCTATTATAATTTACAAGTACCTGAACACGAGGCAAAGAACGAGCGTCCTGTGTGAGGGCCAAGGACCACCTGCCTACCTGGCCTGGGGCCAGATTCACGAAAGCACTTACGCAAGCACTTACGAACGTGTACATCTTTCCTCAATCTTTGACAGCTTTGGTTACATTTCTTAAACAGTTTACAAGCATGAAAACTTCCCATTTAACTGTTGTTATTGTTATAAACAGCCTCCTGGTGCTTCGGATCTCATTAACTGTTTAAATATTGGAAACAAAGCCGCCAAAGATTGAGAAAAGATGTACAAGTTCGTAAGTGCATTCGTGAATCTGGCCAGCAGTTACGCAAGTACTTGCGAACGTGTATATCTTTCCTCAATCTTTGACGGCTTTGTTTACAATTATTAAACAGTTAATGAGCTCCGAAGCACCAGGAGGCTGTTTATAACAATAACAACAGTTGGTTGGGAAGTTTTCATGCTTGTAAACTGTTTAATAAATGCAAGCAAAGCCGTCAAAGATTGAGGAAAGATGTACACGTTCGTAAGTAGTTGCGTAACTGCTTCGTGAATCTGGCCCCAGGTCTGCCCCGTCCCCCACCAGGAGCAGGCGGGGTTCCCCAAACATACCGACCTTCCTGGTACCTTGTTGCACAAACCTGCCCTTCATGGCCAGGCTTAACTGAGAACAAACGTTTACAAGTCAATGTCCCCTCCCCCTCCCCCAACCCTTCACTAATATGAAAACTACAATTGAAGTATACCGCTCCTGTGGTATACTTCGAAGAACTCCACTACAAATTGTCGAAACGTCGACTAAACCGGGTTTAGAATTAGTGTGATCATCTCCAATCATTGGGTAACTATCACTAAAACAGCGACTTGCGCCAAAGGGGAGGCCTGAGCCTACCCAATTACCACATACACTTAAAAGTTTATTTACAGCAACAACTGAAAACAAATAAATTAAGATGAAAAAAAGCCAAATAAAAAACGTTCTATCGGGTTCAGATTACAACCACAAGCGCTTCGGTTTTCACCACACTGGACATGCCAGCAAAAACTGGCTATTCTATATGTGGAGGAGCACCACGGGACCACTCAGTTAGTACGGAAGGACCTGTAGGTCCAGGGAAGGACCTGTAGGTCCAGGGAAGGACCTGTAGGTCCAAGGAAGGACCTGTAGGTCCAGGGAAGGGCCTGTAGGTCCAGGGAAGGACCTGTAGGTCCAGGGAAGGACTTGTAGGTCCAGGGAAGGACTTGTAGGTCCAGGGAAGGACTTGTAGGTCCAGGGAAGGACTTGTAGGTCCAGGGAAGGACTTGAAGGTCCAGGGAAGGACTTGTAGGTCCAGGGAAGGACTTGTAGGTCCAGGGAAGGACCTGTAGGTCCAGGGACGGACCTGTAGGTCCAGGGACGGACCTGTAGGTCCAGAGAAGAGCGTACAGGTCCAGGAAAGGACCTGTAGGTCCAGAGAAGGACCTGTAGGTCCAGAGAAGGACCTGTAGGTCCAGAGAAGGACGTGTAGGTCGAGGGAAGGACCTACAGGTCGCGGGGTGGAACACATGGTAGCAGGCTGCGCCAGTCAACACAGCTGACGGAAGGGTCGTCGAGGGATCAATATGGTCCACGCTGGGGCGAGGCAACGCCTCCACACATTTGTTGATGGCACAACATCAACATTGGCCCCCTCCCCCCCCCCAAGTGGGCTTTCAATAGGCCTACCTTGGCTACCGCTGGGCATGAAGGTATCTTCGTGAACAAATCCATCCTTGTGTAGTATCACATGTTTTAGGCTAGTTGAAAGGGCGGCTTTGGACTTAGTCTCGTCTCTAAGGCCGAAAAAACACTGAATGGACGTGTAGCACAAGGCCCATGCCTGTTCCTCGGAAATTGGGGCACTAAAGGCTAGAAGAATGCATTCAAGATTTATGCACCCGCGGGGATCGAGCGCACATCCAGGGGACGCGCGCTGCGACATCCTCCCCACGCACGATCTACCACAGCACTGGCGGTCATGCGTACTCCCCCTCCGCCCCGCGCTCCCTCCACAGAGCACCGCTGCCCGCCACCGTACACTTATTTATTTATTTATTTATTTATATATATATACAAGAAGGTACATTGGGTTTGTGAGAATACATTGAATAGTACAGTATTTACAATCTTGTAAAGCCACTAGTACGCGCAGCGTTTCGGGCAGACGCTACATTACTACACTACACTAACTCTTAATTATCCTTATCATTTGCAGGTGTTGAGTCACAATAACGTGGCTGAAGTATGTTGATCAGACCACACACTAGAAGGTCCAGGGACGACGACGTTTCGGTCCGTCCTGGATTATTCTCAAGTCGATGATCGACTTGAGAATGGTCCAGGACGGACCGAAACGTCGTTGTCCCTTCACCTTCTAATGTGTGGTCTGGTCATCAATATCCTAATCATTCATTGTTTTAGGGGGACAGATTGATTGATTGATTGATAAAGATTAAGCCACCCAAAAGGTGGCACGGGCATGAATAGCCCGTAAGTGGTGGCCCTTTTGAGCCATTACCAGTATCAAGAGCTGATACTGGAGATCTGTGGAGGTGCGACTGCACCCTGCGTGACGGGAGATGTCTCCCGTGCTCATCGTTCTCCAAAGGTTGGCAGGAATATTAACTGAAGTAGGGAAAGATTTGAGTTCCATAATTAGTACTAAGAAGAGCTTTGCTTCTCTCATTAGGCTAATGCGTTTGGAGCGAGTATATTATTGGGATAATCTACTCGCTACAGTTTTAACACCTGATTTTTCGCACCACCATTTAACAAGCACGACCACTACTTCCATGCGGACCTTTGGCTCCATCTACTTGTGTAAAGGAGGGAAATGTATATGTTTATCTCTCAGAATGTTCGGTAATATGTTTATTGTTTGTGATGTGTGTCTATGTATGTATTAACACGATGTACTGAACGGGGTGAGAATAGCTTGAGCTACCTCATCCCTTTGTGTGTATTTTACATCAATAAACTTATTTCAATTTAAATTTCGCTCTATCTATTCCCATCTTCTTTTCACTAACCAAGGCTCTCATTGCACCAGAAACTTTTCTTCCCCTAGTGACACTATTTCAAATTTTATTACATAAATTCCTCTTTTACTAACCACATATAAAACAAAGTCAACGTAATATAAAAAAAACAATATAAAAGATCTGGGAGTAATCATGTTAGAAGACATTACTGTCGTAACTGCAAGAAAAATGTTAAGTTGAATTACAAGGATCTTTTAAACAGATGACAAACCAATGAGGCTACTTTTTAAAAGACACTAGTGCTCCCTAGGTTGGAATATTGTTGGACACTAACAACCCTGTTTAAAGCTGGAGAAGTTACTGATATACTATCTTCACTGTAACGATCTTCACAATTACACACTCTCTTCACTGTAACGATCTTCACAATTACACACTATCTTCACTGTAACGATCTTCACAATTACACACTCTCTTCACTGTAACGATCTTCACAATTACACACTATCTTCACTGTAACGATCTTCACAATTACACACTATCTTCACTGTAACGATCTTCACAATTACACACTATCTTCACTGTAACGATTTTCACAATTACAAACTATCTTCACTGTAATTACACACTATCTTCACTGTAATTACACACTATCTTCACTGTAACGATTTTCACAATTACAAACTATCTTCACTGTAATTACACACTATCTTCACTGTAATTACACACTATCTTCACTGTAATTACACACTATCTTCACTGTAATTACACACTATCTTCACTGTAATTACACACTATCTTCACTGCAATTACACACTATCTTCACTAACGATCTTCACAATTACAAACTATCTTCACTGTAATTACACACTATCTTCACTGTAATTACACACTATCTTCACTAACGATCTTCACAATTACACACTATCTTCACTGTAACTTCACAATTAAAACTATCTTCACTGTAATTACACACTATCTTCACTGTAATTACACACTATCTTCACTGTAATTACACACTATCTTCACTAACGATCTTCACAATTACACATTATCTTCACTAACGAAATAAGATGTAATTTAACCAAGAGGACAGTCGATCAGGTTCGTTCTCGACTCACAATCGAGAATTCCGTGTTTGAATACTGGGCGGGACAGAAATGGTTGGGCACGCTTCCTCTTACCTAATGCACCTGTTCACCTAGCAGTAAGTAGGTACCCAAGAGTTACTCAGTGTGTTGTGGGGTCAGCTTGGGTCGCAGGAGACGACCTCTTTCACCCGAAGCTTCCTTCATGACCCAGCAGAAGGGAGAGTATTAATTATTAATTAATTATATTATTATTATAATAATTATAATAATAATTATAATAATAATTATAATAATAATTATAATAATAATTATAATAATAATTGTTGTAATTAATGATTAACACTCTTCAAGCCTAACATGTACTGTATGTATATATATATTGGCTGCCTGTCCCCGGACACAATGATTTATTTAATTATTAATCTATTTTGTGCTAAACGTATCTATAGTTGATCAAAACTTTTTAATTTATTACCTTGCTACCATCAGTTACATGCGTGTCCGACATTACCAATAATCAAGCCAAAATGTGGGTGTCTATATCATTGAGTTATCACACGAACTTAGGGAGATGAAAATCAACTAAATAAAGATCTTTACAAATATTAACCAAAATGTAATGACGAAATATATTATTTAGAGATTCATAGTTTGCTCCCGGCTTGGTGCTGTCTTCTTATAGACTAAACTTACTTAATGACCAGGAATGTAATATAAAAAAACTACAGTGCATCTACAAATTAGTAAATAGATGAGTATAATTGTAATAAATGTGAATAAGTGATAATTTAGGTGACAATTCAGGTTTTAAGTCCGGCGCCCCTGACGGCGCCATATTTCCCGCCAGCTGAGTGACCCGCCACGCCGGCCACACTACACGTTTTCTCCCCTCATATATTGCCCTGAGGCCTACGTCCTCCTGAGTGTAGGCCTCCCAGCCTTGTGTCACCACGCCCCTCAGTGTCGTGTAGTGTGAGGATGTAGCACTTGGCCCGGTAAGAGCTAGAGTTGTGCGTATATATGACTTTGTGCTGGGAGCCACGTTCTGGTGTCGGGGGGACCAGCCACATGGTGTCTTAAGTTCGGGTTATTACGCTCATTATTCTATTTCTTCTAGTGCTTTCCTCTGGTAATTGCCATATTGTGACGTGTTATGTCACGTCCTGGTTGTAAGGTAGTTTGCGTTGGTTAATTATATATATATATATATATATATATATATATATATATATATATATATATATAATATATATATATATATATATATATATATATATATATATATATATATATATATTTATATATATATATATATATATACCTATATATATATATATATATATATTTATATATATATATATATATAACTGAAAACTCACACCCCAGAAGTGACTCGAACCCATACTACCAGGAGCAATGCAACTGGTATCTACAAGACACCTTAATCCACTTGACCATCACGACCGGACATAATGAGGTGATAGCCGAAGCTATTTGAACCACCCCACCGCCGGCACTCGGATAATAATCTTGGGCATAGCATTTTACCAAATCACCTCATTCTTTGGGGCACACGTGAGGAACACAAATGCGAACAAGCCTGAATGGTCCCCAGGACAATATGCAACTGAAAACTTGAGTTTTCAGTTGCATATTGTCCTGGGGACCATTCAGGCTTGTTCATATATATATATATATATATATTAGTATATTTTGGTAGCAGTCTTTCCTGTAGACATATTTATTAAATATGACCGAAAAAGTAAGATTAATAATTCTAACACGAATTTTCTCAATCTTTCGTACATTATGCTTCACTGTTGGAGGTAAATCAAAAATCACTTCTCCAAAATTCATTTTTATTTCTAGTCTGACGCGACACGGGCGCGTTTCGTAAAACTTATTACATTTTCAAAGACTTCACAAATACACAACTGATTAGAACTTGCGTTTCCCTGATTTTATATCTACATTTGAGTGAGGTGGAAGGTGATGTGGCATTACATTTGAGTAAGGTGGGAAGGATGATGTGGCATTAGAGGATATTAATAGGGTATTAAAAGTATCAACACAAGACAGAACACGAAACAATGGATATGAATAGAAGTGTTTGTAGAAAGCCTATTGGTCCATATTTCTTGATGCTTCTATATTGGAGCGGAGTCTTGAGGTGGGTAGAATATAGTTGTGCAATAATTGGCTGTTGATTGCTGGTGTTGACTTCTTGATGTGTAGTGCCTCGCAAACGTCGAGCCGCCTGCTATCGCTGTATCTGTCGATGATTTCTGTGTTGTTTACTAGGATTTCTCTGGCGATGGTTTGGTTATGGGAAGAGATATATATATATATATATATATATATATATATATATATATATATATATATATATATATATATATATAATATATATATATATACATATATATATATATATATATATATATATATATATATATATATATATATATATATATTATATATATATATATATATATATATATATATACATACAGTATTATTAAATATGACCGAAAAAGTAAGATTAATAATTCTAACACGAATTTTCTCAATGTTTCTTATATTTTTGTCATTGTTGATGGTAACTGAAAAATCAATTCTCCAAAATTCATTTTTATTTTGGAGAATTGATTTTTCAGTTACCATCAACAGTGAAAAAAATATAAGAAACATTGAGAAAATTCATGTTAGAATTATTAATCTCACTTTTTTGGTTATATTTAATAATATATGTCTACAGAAAAGACTGCTACCAAAATATATATATATATATATATATATATATATATATATATATATATATATATATATATATATATATATATATATATATATATGATCACCGTATTTTAAGATGGACTACGACTATAGAAACCCACATAAAGGTCAAAGATGATGAGTTTCTAGATTATCATCGAGGACACTTCTCAAGGAATGAGAGAGGAACTGCAACCCATCTCCGGCCTGGAGGGAGCTGATGGCCGAACACATACCATTTACCTGGTTTATGACACTTACATGCCAAATACATACATACATACATACATACATACATACATACATACATACATACATACATACATACATACAAGTACATACATACAATGCCTAAAGCCACTATTACGCAAAGCGTTTCGGGCAGGAAAAAACACTAAGACTAAAACTTAAACAAATGGAAGCATCTTGGCAACATGTCAAGAGGGTCATCACGGAACTCATTAAAAAATATGTGCCGAAAATTAGACCAACAAAAATGAAGCTAAAAAAAGACTTGAATATTCCTAGGCCTAGTATAGTACACATATGTACTATAATAGACTTCAGATATCATGTATTAGGCCTAGGAAGGTTAGGTTAGGTTGTTTTTAGCTTGCCTTTGCAACATAGAAAATCGTTTTCTGGTTTGTCCAAATTCAGTAGTACCGATTTCTACTTTCTAATTGCATTGTACGGCGGTATAGTATACAGTATGTACTATGGTCCCCATCCTTCCTATAAGTACAGTACTGTACTAACAAAACAGGAGGATGGGTAGATTTATGAATAAATAGTATGCATTGATTATTGCTCTTATGTTTTAAATCATGTTTAATGATTTGATGATTCCTGCCCGAAACGCATTGCGTAATAGTGGCTTTAGGCATTGTATGTACTAGCTCTATCTATATATCGATCCATTAATGTAACATTACTTGTATGTATGTACCCTTCCTGAATAAACATATTTATTTATTTATTTATTTATTTATTTATTTATTTATTTATGTTGCACATGTATGATTTAGGTACAATATTTGTTTCAGATTCGAGGAAAAAAAAAGAGTTGATATATATCCATCATTTGCAACAAGTCCTTGACAATGTCAGCAACAATGCAGATGGTCAGGGACACAGCTGTGACAAGCACAGTAAGTATGTCCAAGTACCTCCTTTCAAATGGCATATTATTTTCTCAGATAGCATTCTATTATTTTTCTCTGATGACATTATTCCTTACTACCCCTCCCTCACCTTTCTCTACTAGGATAGGAGGATGTGAGAACTGTTACCTGTAATTAGGGATAGGATTATAGCTTGTGTAGTTAGTGGTAATTAGTTATGTCATTAAGATAATGAGATAATGGAGCGAGTATAAGGATTACTCCCTACATGTTATTGATCTGCTGTAATATCATGATGCTCTTTTTCTTGTTTTAAAGGTACTAGAGTTGGTTAAAGCCTTCAAGCTTTATTATATATATATGGTTTCATATTATTCTATGAATATAATTTATCTATCACCATCTTTCCCTATTACTGTTCTGTTATATAATTCACGGTGTCAGGTAATTAATGTTATATAATTCACTGTATACAATAATTACTGTAAGTTAACTCAAATTACAGTACATGTACTCTAGTTTCTCACTGTATACTTCAGTTGCTAGATATATTTCTTTGTTTAAGATCGACTACCTGTACTGTATTCTCCTTATAACTTAATATTCACTGTTTTTTTTTTTTTACAAGAGTTCTTACATTCTTGTAAATTAAAAATTAAATAAATTTAAATTTTTTATTAAGGAAAAGTACAGATGAAAAGTTACAAACATAATGTTGGATTTATAGATAGAGCTAGTACATACAATATCTAAAGCCACTAATACGCATAGTGTTTCGGGCAAAATGTTACATTAGTGTATGTTAGTGGCTTTGTGAGAAGGTATCATTTAATTAACCAGTCTCCGTGGTGTAGTGGTAAGACACTCGCCTGGCGTTCCGCGAGCGCTGTGTCATGGGTTCGTATCCTGGCCGGGGAGGATTTACTGGGTGCAATTCCTTAACTGTAGCCTCTGTTTAACGCAACAGTAAAATGTGTACTTGGATGAAAAAACGATTCTTCGCGGCGGGGATCGTATTCCAGGGACCTGCCCGAAACGCTACGCGTACTAGTGGCTGTACAAGAATGTAACAACTCTTGTATATATCTCAAAAAAAAAAAAAAATTACCAAAATCTTTACTGATACAACTCATTGTACTATACTATACATGATTTAACTACAGACTGAAATTGTCTAACCTCTTTTAGGTACAGTGATAGAAGGAAAATATTTTTGTTAATTCATTATGTCTGGGGACAGGCAGCCAGTTTCAACATACAGTACTTGTTCAGCTTATATCGAGGAATCCTCCCCTCTCGGGTCAAATTACAGACCCTTCCCAGGATGCAACCCCACAACAAGCTGACTAACTCCTGGGTACCTATTGACTGCTAGGTGGACAGAGGCATTAGGTGATATGCCTGGAATTTGAACCTGGAATTCTCGATTGTGAGTCGAGAATGAACCGAACTGTACAACTGAGACCCAAGATGGATATCATTATATATATATTTGCTGGTGGCTATAACCAATTTCGAAGCAGTTCAGGAGAGGTTTTACTTCTGCATGAGCTGTGGTGAGAGTGATGAGTACTGATGATGGTAAAGTCTGGTGATGACTGGTGGTGTATAGTGAGTCCATCTGGTGTGAGACAACAAGAACCAAGGCTGCTCACAACTGGTTTCTGAAGATAAGTCTGTTTAGTGGAATGGCTGGGTCGAGTCAGATTATGGCAAGTCCATCTGGTGGTATTGTGGGAACTGAGGCTGGTCATGGCTAGTGGTTGTAGCTAAGGCCATTTGGTGAAACGGCAGGAACTGAGGCTGGCAAGAGGTGATGCTGTTGTCTGGTGGTCTTTTGTGAAATTTATGTTGATCCGTGCTTGCACTGCCATATATTCCCCAGTCTACTGTGAGGTACAGATGTAGTGGTACTTGCTCATGGTGCTGGTGCTGCTACTGCAGCATTTTGATGTACTGTAGTTGCTACAGTACGTCCTCCCCTCTACTGGCAGCAAAATATATCTGTGGAGAAAAATGCTGCATGTATTTTTCTCCAAGTTATTTTTCTAATTATTGCTCCTTGGGTTATTGGTTAAGAAGGATAAGAGAACTGGATCCTGGGTATTAACTGTATTAGCCGTTGAGATGTAAGTCTCGTCCTTACCATATACTTAGACCTTGATAAAGCATTCAGGAGAATGTCAAAGACTTGGTGTAAATCTTTACATAAAGTACACAAGTGTGGGTATCCTACATCCCTAGGGTTTTATTGGCTTTTTTTTTTTACTGCAGCTCCCACTTTCTGTGTAACTTTCAGTGATTGGTTGATTCCGACTCCATGGTGCTTTTCTTCTTCAATCTGCTGGGAGGTAATATATAAGAGTGATGAATCATTTGTTTCTACCTGGATTCATAGCATACATTGTAGGTGGAATGTCTTGGAATCTGCACTTTTTACATTGTTGTCTTTTTATTATATCTCTTCTTATTTTTTTCAGTGGTCCTCAATCTTCCCACCACAACAGAGAACAAGGGAAGAGTCATTGTTGTTTGTGAAGAAACTAATAGCAGTTGGGATATCGTCCATCACCTACTTGCGTACATTGTTTCCCGAGGTTTGAATTACCATAAAAAATAAAGATTTTTTTTTAGATAAAAAAAATTTAGGTAAACTACTCTGAAATTACTGTATTAAATAATTAACACTAAGCTTGTTTCTCACTTGTCTACAATGTAGAAATATTTTTTACTTCACCCAAATTTAACAGCAGGGGATTAGGTTGTAAACTAATTATGATAAATAACCAAATACAATTTAATTCTTAACATTTACAACTGGTTTGTGGCATATACAGTATAAATAGATTTGAGTTGATATCTTGTGTGCCCACCTCCATGAGGGGGCAAGAGGTATGCTTATCCAATAGTAGCTGTAGGGGGGGTAGTGAGGTTTAGCACTTTATGCCCTGCCTTTAACCTTTGTTGTCAATGGAGTTGCCTTTCATGGCTGCTTCTTTCAGTGTATGCTGTTTGTTGACCACTTGTACAGGGTACTCATGAGTATTTGCTTGCATTTCTCAAAATTAATTTTACTTTGGCAATAATAAACTTCTACATAATAAAAAGCCATTATTTACCTGAATTTACCTGAATGCCACCATTTATTTATTTATTTATTTATTATTTATTTATTTATTTATTTATTTATTTATATATATACAAGAAGGTACATTGGGTTAGTGAGAATACATTGGATAGTACAGTATTTACATTCTTGTAAAGCCACTAGTACGCACAGCGTTTCGGGCAGGTCCTTAATCTAGCAGATAATAGTAGTAGTAGTAGATGGACCATCTTTCTAGTAGCCTTGATGAGGACAGAAAGCCAGCAGCTTCTTGTTCCTGAAGATTTTTTCCATATGGATTTTGAACTGACGTAATGTCTTGGCATTTTCAGTTTTGGCAGGTGGTCGGTTCCATGCGTTTATAACCCTATGGGGTGAAAAAGCATCTGTTTTTGTGCCCTACAGAGTGGCTTATTGACCCTTATATGTGTTTTATTTAACCTTTGGGAGAGGAGGGTGGTTTTTGGTCTGCCCTTTTCTGCTTTTGCTTCCTCGGACCAGGGCTGGCTTCTTCTCTGCTGTTCTGTTTGTTCATTGTGAATAGGTCAGACACTTAGATGTTTGGTGTTTCCTCCATTCTTAGTGAGTTCCTGATCTATTTTAGTCCCACTTGGGTCTCTAGCCCAGTGGTCTGGTCTTGTTATTTGAGTTGCACACGGTTTTTATTTTCTCAGCCTTTTCACTTGACCTTCGTCTTTTTTTTTATTGCTCCTGTGGGGTGGCTGCACACACTTATTGGAGACAATGCCCTGTTGCAAAAAAAAAAGTAAACTTTTTTTTCCTTCTAATGTTATTAAAATGCATTCCTAATCACAGGGAATTCTTTTTATGTGGTGGTATTTTTATGTGTCTTCTTTGGCTGTGGTGATGTGAGAAAATCTCACGAATAGTGTCACTATTCACAAGTGTTCATAGAGCCCTGTGGTGGTTACCTTTGTGGGGGGGGGGGGAGGGGAGTTGCCAGAGGTCTGACAGGTTGAAAGAATTCCTTTATGTAATTAATTGTTTGTCCCAAATAGTTTATTCAAGAATATTCACACTGTATTGTATTTAAAGGCTTGTTTGGTGAGCTAGCCCAGTAACTAGAGTTTGTCTCTGCAAAAACCGTTTAAGAAACTGTGATTTAAAGCAAATATGTATTCATTAGTACTTGCATATTAGGAAATCTTTGAAGGAAATCTCCATTGGAATAGGGTACTTAAATGCATGGTTTCTCTTTTGCATAGGGTTCATACAGCAACCGGAACCTTGATGGACTACAACTCAAAATGCTACTTGAAAACTCCTCATGTAATAGTTCCAACATGGTTGTTTCCTGGATCAAGGGTTGCTTTGAAGCCATTGAGAAAAAATACGTAAGAATTGGTTTGGCTTTCGTTAGAATTGCTTATCCATTTTATATACTTATACCTGGCAAAGTTAAACAATTACAATTGATTGTAGGGAAATTGCATGAAATAGACTTTTTATTAACCTGAACAATAATTTCAGTTACGACAGTTGACGCTAGTGATCTATAATGACCCAGACAAGCCAGAATTAGCTCTAGAGACATATACTTTCAAATTGCGATACACTGAGGAAGAGGGAGCAGTTATTAGTGAATTGGAAGCCAGTTCCAATCCGTAAGTACAAACCATCATTTTTGTTGCTATGTTCCATTATTCCCAGCAACCCCCCCCCCACTTCTTTTTTGCTTATCTCCTCCTTTTCTCTCCCTTCTGTTTTTCTGTTTGATATTTGACTTGTAGTCTTAATTGTAGGTCAATGAAAGTACCTTGTATGTGACACTTCTCAGAACAATTCTGGAAAGTGTGGTGATGACTGCAGCTGGATTCCTGTCCCCATTGAGGCCACTAGAAAGATAGTGACCCTAGGGTAAATTTAGGTAAAAATGAGGTATGAGGAAGGACTGAAGGATCTTAACCTTACATCACTAGAAGAGAGAATAAACAGAGGAGACATGATCGTCACTAAAAAAAAAAAAAATTCAGGGAAATAGTCAGGACAGACCAGGGCAGATTATTCAGCTCGGATGGTACATGAACAAGGAGTCATATATGTAATCTGATGAGCCACAGAGACCTTAAAATAAAGTTTTTCATGGTCAAAATAGTAAACAAATAGATTGTATTAAGAACTGAAGTGGTGGAGGCTGACTCCATACACAGTAGTACAGTTGGGGGATAATTCCCGACTCACAATTGGGAATCCTGGGTTCCAATCCTGGGGTGTGACAAAAGTGGTTGGGCATATTTCCTTTTACCTAATGGCTAGCAGTAAACAGGTACCCGGGAGGCAGTCACCTGTTGTGGTTACATCCTGGGAAGGGTCAGCAGTTTGAGCTTGGGCGGTGACTTTAATCAATACCAGCCTAATGTAATAATTCATTGTCAGGGGACAGGCAGCCAAAGTGTATTCATTCATGTTAGGCTTGAATGAATAAGGGTCATGTTAAGGGTTGAGAGGTGGGACCCAAGAGCCCTACTTTCCTTCCCCTCTCTTGTTTTCTTTGTGTTTTCTTTTATATCTTGGTAATTGACATAATATGTTGTAAGATATTACAAGAGTTAATGTTGACAATTTTTAGTTTATTTTGACCTGAAACCTCATGTGTTAAAATATTAAACTTCCAGTGTATTGAATTTGTATCATTCAATAATTAAAAAAACTTATGAGAAATATTTTTTTAGAAGTAAGAAGGAGAAAAGAGTGGACGTGAAGAAGTCAACAGAGAAGATGCTGCGTACTATACTACTGTTGACGCAGACACTGAAGCCCCTGCCTAGGAAGATTCACTTGGCAATGAAGCTGGGCTATTATGACAATGGTAAATTGTAATCAGTTTTTATGTGTTTTGCCTAAATTAACATGTTTTCAGGAGTCCATACAGTGTAACCTGAGTTGAGTTTATTCCCAAGAGAAAATGGCCATGGACTCAACTATAACAATAATAATAATATAATAATTAAAATTTTGAATAATAATAATACAGAAATAACAGTAATTATTTATAAAATATTCACACCCATAAATATAATACAAAGGTATATTTCAAGTTACAGATGTTGCATATCACATAAGGCTACGACTATGCAAGGCATTTCAGGCAAAACTTAGAATTCAGTTAAAAATTAGTATAGGTATAATGGAGTAAATACTTAAAACCTGTACTAAATGAGGAATAAGCTCGCAGATGCGAGATGTTCAAGACATGTAATAAATTCTATACAATATAAATGCAGTATCAGTGTGGTGTGCCATATGTTAACATATATTTAGTTTTTGCCCGAAACGCTATGCGTATTAGTGGCTTTAAGTATTTGTATGTACTAGCTCTACCTATAAATAATCAGAATGTTTGTAACTCTGCAACTATGTATATACTTCTCCTAAATAAAATATTATTATTATTATTATTATATGGCCAGTTTTGCTTTCCCTTTGTTTAAAGGGATGCAGTCCTGCAATTTTATAGCTTTAATGCTTAAATAAACAAAGTTGCTTCAAGCATGTGCAACATGGTGGTCAGTGAGAATGCTGTCACGAACATGTTTTTATTTTCTATCACTTTGTGAGTTTATATTATGTTCTTGTGATAATTAGTTCTCCTATGTTGCCTCATGTAACCATGCTACAAAAGGAAGGAGAGCAATTTCTTGACCTAGTTCATGATGCTATTCTCATATAGTAAGTGACTGATTAGTTAATAATTGTTAATTATCAGTTAATAATTATTAATTAATTATTAATTATTATTAGTTACTATTATTAATTATTATTAAATAGTCTACATGTAAATTTAAATTTCATTCAGAATGTGTTGTTTTTGTCATTCAAACTCATACTTTGCTTATTTCACATTTGCACTAATAATACATTAGTTGTATGTTATGTCTTCAGTGACCCCAGAAGACTACGAACCTCCAGGATTCAAGGAAGGTGGCCATGGGGGGTGTATGTTTGAGAGTGAACCCATCAACATAAAGGTTTAGTAATTTATGAAACGTAACTTTTCAACAACTGTTATTACACCTTTACCAATTAATTGGTAGTTCGTTGATTAAATTCAATATTTTTTTTGTTTTAAAGTGTAAATAATGTATTAAAATATTTACGATCTAAATAGGCTTTTATTTTTATAGAATTGCTGTGAAATACATTCATGGTCTTTTCACAAGGTTGGCGATGTGACTACTCGTTTCCACACAATAAAGCTTCGAGTAAGTGTGGATAGGAAGTCATATTCCACGGACGAAAACTCTGCAGTAAGTGTCGTATGCAAATCTATCTTGTATTATATGCATATTTACATTAGTGTCATTTATGTTGGTTCCTCCTCTTTATCCCTGCTGGTGTGGAACATTGGCATGCTCAAATATATTTGTCACTAAGATGCACGCTGTATTATTTGTGTAGAACAATAAAGCATAGTGTTTTTGCTGTCATTACACTGTATAGACACTTTATATATGACTATACACATTTCATGCGTGATTATGAACCACTAAGCAGTTCTGTAGGATATGGTAATCTCATGACATGTTATCAGAGTTCAGCCTAATTTTTTCAGGGGCAATGATGTTTTTTTTTTTTTTTTTTTTTTTTTTTTTTTTTTTTTTTTTTTTTTTTTAGATACAGTAGATACAAGAGTTGTTACATTCTTGTACAGCCACTAGTACGCATAGCGTTTCGGGCAAGTCCTTAATCCTATGGTCCCTGGAATACGATCCCCTGCCGCGAAGAATCGTTTTTTCATCCAAGTACACATTTTACTGTTGCGTTAAACAGAGGCTACAGTTAAGGATTTGCGCCCAGTAAATCCTCCCCGGCCAGGATACGAACCCATGACATAGCACTCGCGGAACGCCAGGCGAGTGTCTTACCACTACACCACGGAGACTGACTTTATAATAATAAAGGTTTATAATAATAATAAACTATAATAATATAATAAATATATAATAATAAAGGTTTATAATAATAAACCCATGGGGTTTATAACCCCATGGATGAAAAAGCATTTCCTGTCCCACATTGTGCCTTGTTGGGTTTGAAACTGTTGCTCCTTGTTTGTATTACATCTGACCTTTTAAAGCCGTTGTCTGGATCAATGTCCTCCAAATTGTTCAATATTTTAGAAGTTTCAATGAGATCTGCCCTGTTATGTCTCGTTTGCAGTGTTATTAGCCCTGTGGCCCTCAACTATTCCTGGTATGCGAGTCAATTTAGTAATGAAATCATTTTTGTTGCCTGGTGGTGTTGAACTTTCTCAAAATCAGCTTCTGCATATGAGTGTGTTTGGGTATAAATAGACTACAGCTGCTTTGTGTAGACTAATAGGCCTTCTGCAATTTCCTTTATTCTTAAGTTCCTTCACAGATGCACATGTCCCAAGTAAAAAATTAAAACTTAGAACTATCAATATCAGAGGCCCGAGACTGTTCAACACGCTTCCACTACACATAAGGGACATAACTGGATCAGTCCCTGAGCCCATTATGTGCCTCTATAACACTTTCCACTACCGCCCACAAGATGGGTATGGGGTGCATAATAAATGAACTAAACTAAAACTAACACATTAGTGAATAATGTTATTTCTAGGCCATATATTTTATTTAGATTTAGGTGACCTTTATATATTTTATTTCCATGTTGGTAAGTGATATTTGTGTCTAATTTTATCTTAGGAGGAAAAGGAGGATAGCAGTTTTCTAAATAAATCTATCACAAAAGACAATATGCAATCTTCACAAAGTACTGAGGTCTTGATTCGAAGTTATGCCAAGCTTTCCTTGCCACGCACTCTTTCCAGTGGATCTCCATCCACAGGTTTGCCATGTTATTTTATGGTAATTTATAGTTTATTTCCTTTTGAAATATGTTGATGTCTAGTTTATAGAATTTACATTCCAAATGTGGTTAGTAATTAACATATAATTTTCATTTTAGGCAGAAGCTCTTGCATCAATTATAATGATAATCATGATGCAGCTGTTAATGGTCACCTGATGAAGGAACATGATTGTACAAGAAGTGGGAACCAATTAGAAGACAACACCATGAGTACAGATATTTGGGTGCCAAGTGTCACTCCAGAAAACACTTCCACTAACACAATTTGTAGATTAGTAAAGAGTTCTCAAGACGATGCTCAGTTGGTGCCCCAGATGTCAACACAAACTTCCACATCAAACTTACAACCTTGTATGAAGGTGACACAAAATTCTAATGTAAGGACACCATCCCTCCCAAGTCCAATACAAACTACGCCAGGTATGTAATTATCTGTATTCCAAATTACTGAATAACTATTTAATTGATATTTCAGATATTCAATTAGGGTAATTTAGTTACATGTATATCTTGAGGTTATCGTGAGATGATTTCGGGGCTTTTTTAGTGTCCCCGCGGCCCGGTCCTCGACCAGGCCTCCACCCCCAGGAAGCAGCCTGTGACAGCTGACTAACACCCAGGTACCTATTTTACTGCTAGGTAACAGGGGCATAGGGTGAAAGAAACTCTGCCCATTGTTTCTCGCCGGCGCCCGGGATCGACCCCGGGACCACAGGATCACAAGTCCAGCGTGCTGTCCGCTCGGCCGACCGGCTCCCATAAGTTATACAGTTGAAGTTTGATACCATATTTGCCCAAATGTATACAAGCCTCACAATTCTAAGCTGCATGGTTGGGTTTTGGACATGTTTCATGCATAAACGCTTGCAGTGTGATTGTAAGCCACACCCGAATTTGACCAATCACTTTATTTTAAATGCCAAAAGTGATTTTTAAAATAAGTTACTTGTTGCCATGTGTGCAATATGATTTAAGACTTAATTAACTGAGGTGTTTAAAGGTTAAAACTTAAAACCCAACTTCAAAAATTGCTCTTCAATTGTATGATGCCTCCTCTCATTGGGAAATGGTGTAATGGTAATGAATGTACTGTACGTACTGTAATTTATGTACGTATCAACTGTATGCATGTTTATTATCATCATCATCGAGAAAATCCATTTAGTTTTATCCATTGTAATTAGTAGAAGCCATGAGGAGGATTGGAGCCTATGTTCTGAGTACTCCTAAGCACAAGCCTTAGACCACTACACCACTGATTTTCTCTTTGATACATCACATTACTGTAATGTGATTTCTTTGTACTTTATTTTTATTATTATTATTATTATTATTTATCATAGCTAAGTCACATTTTCTTCACCTCATCTAGTCCAGCTGACTTATCGTTACTTGTATAGTACGTGAAAAATAGATTAATCAGATTAGAGGATTCTTCGCTGATTTTTAAGCTGCAAAGCTATTATTAAATGTCAGATTAAATCATGTTTTCCAAATTTATGAATAGATTTAATCTTTGTCTTTGAGTCTGAAAAATATGCACATACAGTGACACTTCGGTTTACGAATGCCTCTATTTACGAACTTTTAGTGTTACGAGCCCAATTTCTTCGTAAAATCCGAATTGGATTACGCGCTTTGCCTCGGGAAACGAAGTTTGTTGATACGCGTATGGCCGATCTGGCACGTGGCAGCACGGCGATCGCGCCTCAGTTTACCAGTGCCTCCCGCCTAGTGACAATCGCATCTGAATTCTTTGTAAAAAATTAAAGTTTTTTTTAGTTTTTTTGGATATTTGAACATAAAAGTTATATATCTCGCCATGGGTCCCAAGAAAGCCAGTGGTAAGGTTCGAGCCGAGAAAACACATGTGAGAATGACCATAGAGGAAAAACAAAAGATCATTCGTAAACATGAAAATGGTATGAGGGTTGTTGATGTAGAGTAGAGGATGTCCCTTCCTCATTTATTAAGAAAATGTGTGCAGTATGGGAAGAATTGCAAAGTTTTACTGAAAATTGTCTCCCAAATCAAGCTGTAGCAGACCGATGTGTTAAGCTTTTCAATGACAATGTGATGTCTCACTTAACACTTTCGCCCGGGCATGACGCAGCATTGCGTCATCCGTTTACTGTCGGTAATACCGGGGATGACGCAGCATTGCGTCATCCACTTTAAATAATCGCCAAAAATCAGGTTTTTATCCGATTTTTTGGGGACTGGTTTTAAAATGTGCGTCGATATCTTCCCATTTTCTTTGTTGAGCCTCGTGGCCCTCAGGTGGCTTGGCACACGCCGTGGGCCCATTGTTTTCGCTCCACTGTTGTGACCAATGTCGCCTCCCCTCGCATCTCAAACGTGTGAACATTTCGGCTATTTTCATTGGCTATATTTCTTACTGCGGCTTTAGAAACTATCTAACCTTACTCCACGATGGATAGTGATCATGAACAAGGCCCTTCCAGGAAGAAAATTGCGAAAGAAAGGCTTGAAAAGGGAGGGAATTGGGAGTGTAGCTGGAAGGCGTCTGAGCGCTCACTCGCGGCTAACGTGTGGCCCGTCTTCAACTCGTCGGCGGTTGGAGCGTGACCAGGTTTTATATTTTATATGCAAATGTTCGTCTAGAGAATTCTATTTCAAACCCATTGAGACCAAAATGAAAGACCTAGGACAAAAATTGAGGTGACCAGAGTGAAAATAGTGAAAACATTTTATCGCGTTTGCAGGCTCCTGGGTTACTCGTTCGCACTTTCTCTGTTTGCTGCGGGTAATTAGCCGGGCTTTTGGAGTTTATATGCATTTAGTGCTGTAGAGAATTCTATTGCGAACACAATGATACCAAATTTAATCTCGTAGGACGAGAATTAAGGTGACAAAGTTGAAGAGAGTATACACTTTTCAGAATTTACGTGCGCTCCCGTGACACCCTGGGTCCCATATCGCAAAGTTGAGGGGTGGCGCGCGGGGTGAGCGAAAGTGTTAAGACAAGTGTTACAATGTAGGGAAAAATAAGTGTTGCTAGACAGGTTTTTAGTGAGAAAAACAAGCAGTGAGCCACAAGCAGGTCCTAGTGGCATGCAGGCAAAATGTACCAGAGAGTGTACCCCAGAGAAGTCATCACTGCCTGATGTTATAATGGAAGGGGACTACCCTTCCAAACACTTAACACCTCTCCTCCTTCTCCCCTCCTCACCGTCTTCCACGTGCCAACAAGAGTCATCAGTAAAGGTAAGTAATAATTTGTACATACTTTAGTACTGAAGATTTGAGTGAATAAGGTATAAAATTTACTTTGAAGTTAATTTTTTGGGGAGTCGGGAACAGATTAATTCAATTTACATTATTTCTTATGGAGAAATTCGCTTCAGTTTACGAATATTCGGCTTACGAGCCGTCCCTGGGAATGGATTAAATTCGTAAGCTGAGGTACCACTGTACAGTAATTGGAATATGACACTGACTCTTTATTCAGAACATTGGCCCCTCAAAAAAATATATGTGCATACTTATTATTACATCTCCCTTGCATGAATACATCTTTTTTTTTTTTTTTTTTTTTTTTTTTTTTTTTTTTTTTTTTTTTGAGATATATACAAGAGTTGTTACATTCTTGTACAGCCACTAGTACGCGTAGCGTTTCGGGTAGGTCCCTGGAATACGATCCCCTGCCGCGAAGAATCGTTTTTTCATCCAAGTACACATTTTACTGTTGCGTTAAACAGAGGCTACAGTTAAGGAATTACGCCCAGTAAATCCTCCCCGGCCAGGATACGAACCCATGACATAGCGCTCGCGGAACGCCAGGCGAGTGTCTTACCACTACACCACGGAGACTGTTTAGAATAACTCTTGTATAGAGTTATTCTCTTGTAATGAATACATCTTATTTACAAACCTATTTGTTCTGGTAACGTTATGAGACAGTGTTAAGACAATGAAAATCGGACAGGATCACCAAAACCTCCGTTAACTGCCATACTTTTTAAGGGAAATAAACTTGTGGCATTAATGAAAAAATTACAAGGTAAAATTTTCTGATAAAATATAAGAGAATTCAGGTATTTAATTCAACAATTTATTTCCTGTCAGCATCAGCAGTGAGTACTCGCAGTATGAGGGCATCGAACAACCAGTTCGAAGCTGGCTTCATGGTACGGTGTCCCTGTAATGTTAATCATGATGATGGCCTCATGATACTTTGTGATATGTGCAACAATTGGCAGCATGCAGTAAGTACCATTCTCAAGAGTTGTAGCGAGGTAATGTAGTAAGGGTACTGTATATAGGTGGTCTTTATGTGGTACCATTCTCAAGAGTTGTAGTGAGGTACGATTCTGAGTGATTCTTCAATGAGTGGCCTGACTTTGTACAGTGTCAGAAGAAGTGGCAACATGAAAGGGTGTCTGCTCTGGTGTGGGTTGTTGTGTTATTTATTTATTTATTTATTTATTTATTTTATTCATTTATTTATATACAAGAAGGTACATTGGGTTTATGAGAGTACAGAGCATTGAAGTTTTACATTCTTGTAAAGCCACTAGCGCTCATTGTGTTTCGGGTAGAAACACACTAAATGAAATTTAACACACTGTGATTAATTTTGGGGTTCCTGCCTGGAAGTTCGTCACCCATTTATAGTTGTAATAAGTTGGAGGGGCCCTGTGTCTGGGAGGATCTCCCCATTTTAGCCACAGTGGCTCCCTGATAAATTATAAGGCCTGATAGTGGTTTACTAATGTTTCTAAATTTTCAGGTGTGTTTCTGTGTGCTGGATGAAAGTGAGGCACCACAACGCCACATCTGTGAAGCTTGTGCCACACCTGACACACCCTCCACAGATCCCACCCTCACAAACCATCCTGAGGTATCACCCATTATTTTACACAAGCATTTTTATTGTCAGTATTTCACTTACATATTCAAGAAATATGTTCCAGGTATTTTATTGTAGGTGTAGAGTATGTTAGTGTGTGTGTGATGTCTCCTGTTCTCAGTCCTATATTATGACTTGTTGAGCTTGAAACCGTTGCACCTTGTTTGTGTTACATCTAACTTTCTGAAGAAAATATCCGGATCAACATCCACTAACTTGTTCAGTATTTTAAAAGTTTCAATGAGATCTGCCCTTTCATGCCTGATATGCAGTGTTGTTAGCTCTGTGGCCTTCAAGTGTTCCTGATATGAGATATGACTCTGGAATGACTTTTATTGCCTGGTGTTGCACTTTCTCCAGAGCAGCTATGTTGCATCAGAGATATATACAGTTGAACCATTACCTTCTTTTACTTATAGTCAAAAGTACTCTTTGATTATCCCAAGTTTGGTTAGTTTTTCTGACTGCTGCACCCACCTGTTGTGCAACTTTTAATGAGTGGTGGATCTTGACTCCAAGATCCGTTTCTTCATCAATCTGCTGTGATGTCAGTCGCATCAATCTGCATCAGTTAAATCAAATTGCATCAATCTGGTATTAATTTGGTAGTCATGACCTGGGTTGTTATGCCCCACATGCATGGCCTTTCATTTATCGATATTAAAAAGCACTTGCCAGTTGTCTGACCATTTGCGGAGTTCATGTAAATCTTTTTGTAAGGCTTCAATATCATTTATCATTTCCCACTTTACCATATATCTTTGCGTCATCTGCAAATTTGATGATGTAGTTTGTAATATTCTCGTTTATGTCATTAATGTATATGACAAAAAGAGTAAGTCCCAAAATGTACCCTTGTGGCATCCCACTTATCACATTTTTCCATTCAGATTCGATTCCATTTAGCACAACCCATTGTTTTATCCATTCTGATATTTTACCATTTATCCCATGGGCCTGTAATTTACTTGCTAGTCTTTCATTTGGTATTTTATCATGTGATTGTGCCAGATTCTTTAAACAAAGTGTCTTTCACAGGTGATTATGTGAATTATCTGAATTTACCTGAGTCACTAACACTAGTGGCCTTAACGAGGGCAGGAAGAGGCGGCTTGTCGAAGGTCCCCCCATTTGCCTTGATCTTTTCCAGCTGTACTGTACTTTAAAAGTTAACAGTTTTTTTGCATTTACGGCTACGACGGGTAGGCAGTTCCATGGGTTTGTAACCCTGTGGGTGAAAAAGTATCTCCTGTTCTCAGTCCTACATTGTGCTTGAGCTTGAAACTATTGCTACTTATTTGTGTTACATCTGACCTTTTGGAAGAAATCTTCCAGATCAACGTCCTCCAAATTGTTCAGTATTTTAAGTTTCAGTGAGATCTGCCCTGTGTAGCCTCTTTATGGGGGTGTATAGCCTCTGTAGGGAGTGTAGCCACATTCGCTACACCCCTGTGTAGTGAGTGTGAAGCCTCCAGTACTTTTGGTGTACTGTACTTAGATTTTTTCAGATACCTTTATTGGTTTTTGATGTTAGTGAGAGTAAACCAATTTATCAGTGCATTTTTATGACCTGCTATGTTACTCTTGTCATTAATATCAAACAATTTCTCACATAGTTGGAGATGTGCTGCCTTTACCGCCGTACTCTGGTGTTTCTTCGTGACAAAAGTCATCGCATCACTGCCGCTGTTCTTGGCCAACGCCTTGGTGTTAACATTAGTATTGCAAAGAAGATCTTCAACCGAGTCCAGAAGGACAAACTTGTAAAATCTAAGGGAAAAGCGTAAGTTTTCTAAGTGTTATTAAGTGTTATTTACCTCAATTTATCTGAGGGCCACCATCTCAAGTGACCTAGATGAGGAGAGGAAGCTGGCAGGTTGTGAAAGGTCCCTTCATTTTTCCTGATGATTTTATTCATCTGGATTTTGAATTGCAGCAATGTTTTGGCATGTACAGCTTTGGCGGGTAGGCAGTTCCATGGGTTTATAACCGTAGGGTTGAAAAAGCATTACCTGTTTTCTGTCCTACATTGGTCTCTTGTATGTGTTACATTTATGTGGGATGACTTAAAAAAAAACAGAAGAAGACATTTTCTGGTAGTTTAATAATTATTTTTTACAATAATTGGGAATTAAAACAATCAATATGAGACTTTCCCGAAGTGTTTTAATATGACAGATTAAGTTATGAATTATAATAAAGTGTTTCATTGGGAATATGGTAAATAAGGTAATATGGTAAAATATGTTTCATTAAAATATGTTTCATTCGTTTCATGTTTCAAAATATGTTTCATTGGGAATATGGTAAATAAGGGAAAGTAGGATTATTATGGGAAGATTTGGGTAAAGTGATTTGATAAATGAGAAAATAATTTTTAGGATTAGAATGAATAACTTGTGTTTCTAATATCTGATTTTTTATGAATCATCTTTCCAGGGGAGTGTTTCCGAACCACACTAACATCCTGCAGTTTGCATTTCCTATGTATCTCAATAGAAAGATACATGAAGGCAAGACAGATACTGATAATGGTGTCAGTGATGCTCCTCGAGTAAGTTTCACTTGTGAGAGTTAGTGACAATATATACAAAATGTATAATAATAATAATAATTCATTGTGACAGGGGACAGGCAGCCAGTGTGTGTATTCATTCAAGTTAGGCTTGTATGGAGGGGTCCCCCCCCCCAAATGTGCAATAAAGGTGGAACTAGTTTGCCCAATGACCATACACAGTGCCACTTTAGCAGTGTTCATGCACTAATGAATGGCTCAGAAGCTTTCAACTCTGCCATGACATTAGGTACATTAGAGTACATGGTGAATGACAGTCTGCTGAGGTTACCTCATCACCATTAATCTCCACTTCAGTCAACCCAACACTATCATCATCCACCACCATCTTTTCTATCTAAATAACAATGCTCAATCAACTACAGTCTTCAAGATACAAGTTAACAAGTGGATCAGAACTTCTCATATTGGTGAGTACAAGCAAAAGCATTGTGTTGAATTTCTTCAACAAAATTTCAAATTATTTTTTCCCTAGCTTTTCATGATGATGAACCACTTATAGTCTCAGTCCCGAGGGGTTCGGAAAGCACGTGGCTGTCTGTACCTAGAACAGTTAAATTTGCAAAACAGTAGTCTTCCTATCAACATGCCTGGCTTCCTGTCCTCATCAAGGCCACAAGAGAGATTGTGTCCTTCAGATAAAGTTAATCTAAACATATATAAATATTTCTGTTATCATTCACAGACTCCAAACAGCATGTGTTCAACTGCAGATTTTGATAATGATGTAACTCCAGATCTACCCATATATTCTCTTCGTGACTCCATTGCTGCCTCTAGAGCTGATGAGTGTACGAAGGTGATGGCCATGTCACTTGATGAGACATTAGACATTGTCAGTGACACACAGGATGTAACAGTGGGCACTCAGGCAATGCAGATGGTTATTGACAATGGTTTAGAGGTAATTGATAGTGAGAAAAGTGAACCTAACCAAGAAACCATATCTGAAATTATGGCCACAGCTGGTGACACTATGGCAACATATGGCTCTCAGCTTGCCACTGAAGAAAACATCACAACCTGTGCCTTAACTCCCACTAAGAGTCTTCAAAATTCCAAGGATGAAGATAAAGTATGTCGTACAGTATGTCAGCATTATTTGGGTTACCCTTGCAAAATATATGTATTGATATTCATCTATGCTACCCCTTAGGTTTGTATACTATAACAGATGTTTATTATTTACTACAGTACTGAAACATTATGACATGTTTGAGTGAGAAAATTATTGTTTGGTGGAAGTCAAATGTTTTGCATATTGTTCAGCAGTCAAAATACAAACTTTTTACTTGATTTGTGTGAAATGTATATAAATATTTATGGTTTGTACTAACACACTTTCCGGAATTAACGTTCATGATAAATTTTTGAAACATTCAGTCATGTATTATCAGTAAATATTGAGATGTAGAGTACGTGTGGGATTGGATGCTAGGTCTGGATGCTTTAGTAAGACATGTAAACAAATGTAACATGACTAGGTTAAAAAGAGCCTTTATGTGGGTGTAACACTGTGGTTAACATGTAGGGACACTGGGAATATGTGCGAGTTAGGTCACTAAGACTTCATATGATACGAAAGAAATTTAACTGGTTTCACATTCAGTGTTCGTGGTTTATAAAGATGTATAGCATATTCAAATCTCTTTGTAAATGAGAGCTTAAAAATATAGTTAGCAAAAAATGTTTCCACCTAAAACTTACATACATTACATGCATTTGGTTTTATCTTAATTAGATTATGGGTTCCCACTTACTTGTGGGCATCATTGCCAACACCAACACCTTTGCAGATGAGGAGTCACAATAACATGGCTGAAATATGTTGACCAAACCACACACTAGAAAGTGAAGGGACAACGACACCGAAACATTTATTAAAAGCAATGTTTATTGCCTCGCCTCCTTCCTTTATCACAATGTACTTGAGAATGGTCCAAGATGGACTGAAACGTCATCGTCCCTTCACTTTCTAGTGTGTGGTTTGGTCAACACCAACACCTTTATAGTGCATCATGAGGGCTTGTGTTTAAGTATACTGTATGGGCATTCTGCTCTTACCTGGCTAAAAGTATTTATGCTGATGATGGAATTTTATCCCTGCATCATAGATGTGACTGGTAATGTCATTGGTACTTTGTGAGACTCCACCACCGATCTCACTCACATTTACATGGAATTTTAATCAATACCAATGTTATTGATACAAGTAATACTGTAAGTGGATTCTAACATTAAATGTTGTACTGTACATGATGATTTGTGAAATCAATAACTTTTATATACAGTACAGTACCTGGATATAATTAATTATATATATTAAAGTTACTGATTTCACAAATGATCATGTATAACTTTTAGTGTTAGAATCCACTTATTACTTGTATCATTATACTCCATCTTCAAAATGCAGTACATTGTACCTGTATTGTACTCTACATATATTCCTGCATATTATTCCACAGGTTCGACCATGTTCAGTCTCGGTCATCATCTTTTTGTGAAGCCTTGAGACTTACTGTAAAGTCGTTCATTACTCCTGATGTTTTAAAGCAACTTTTTCTGGAACATTTCAATTAGTATTCCTATTCTTGCTCCTTTTACTTATGGCTCAACATCTGCCACTAGTATAGAATTTTATTTGATTTCCCAGCAGCAGCAGCAGTTACCAAGTTCAAACTCCTGTTTTGAATGCCAAATGTTTGGACAATTGTTGCAGGATTTAGAAACTTTTGTAGAAGCCTCAAGGAAAATTCAATTTTCACTGATTTTTTTCTTTTAATAAGAATTCACTTCTGGCTATTACAGAGAAAGGGCTACATTATCAGTTTCGTGCACTGTAACCTTCAATCTATCTTAGTATTTGAGGTCACATAGTGATGGAATGATCTATAATAAGTTGTATAAGAATACTGTTCTCTTCCTCAGGTGTGTGCCAGTGATAAGAAGTCCCAGGGAAGGAAATCTATGAAGCGAAAACGCACACTTGTTGTTGGAGAAGTCAGACTTTCCTGTGGCAAGAAAACTGTCTCCTCAGAATCAATGGTAACTTCTGACTGCCGCCATTCAAATATTGTAAATTTTATGTTCAATTTAATTGGATGCATATACAAAATATTATATTTTAAATAGCTATTGGAAATTTATGTAAACAAATTATTCTGTGGGCTTGTGGCAAGGCTTGCCTGGATCATGGCACAGTCAGTTCGGATACACATGGAACTGATGTTACACAGGCATATGTGTGCACAAACTCTTCAGCACGGGTGGGACACGAACAAGGGGACACAGGTGGAAACTTAGTACCCAGATGAGCCACAGAGACGTTAGAAAGAATTTTTTCAGAGTCAGAGTAGTTAATAAATGGAATGCACTAGGAAGTGATGTGGTGGAGGCTGACTCCATACACAGTTTCAAATGTAGATATGATAGAGCCCAATAGGCTCAGGAATCTGTACACCAGTTGATTGACAGTTGAGAGGCGGGACCAAAGAGCCAAAGCTCAACCCCCGCAAGCACAATTAGGTGAGTACAAGTAAATCATATGGTACCTTTGCAGGGGCTTATAAAAGTGCTGGGAGTCACTGGGGGATGAGCCACCTGGCCAGCATAAAAAAATATTTAGAAGCATCAATTCTTAAAAGCAGAGCATATTAATTTCAGTGGTAAATTAGTCCAACCACCAATGAAAACACATGCACCTATTACCCTTGACCCATATGTTGCAGCATGCTACATAGTAGTCTCTGTGCAAACTCTCAATCTTTGAATCACTCCTGACCCATAGTAATCCATAGAGTTACACTGTTTTTCAAACTAGATCATATGAGAATGGGCAGACCCACAACTGAGTTACCCAATTTAATTCTAAAATTAAAATGCTCATGACATTTTCTGTACATTCAGACAATGTCCTTCATACATTGCGGTGCAAACTCAGGCTCTCCCTGCCATCAACTTGCAATAGTAGTGTTCTGAAACAACCTAACTCAGTCATCAACTACTACTTCACACTCTGCCGCCCCCTTTGCTTGTGTCTGATCTGTCTGTCACTGACGTTCCTGTAGCTCCAGTCTAATCCTCTCCCTAAAACCGTGCAACTGACTCCCGATCTTGTTGACACACTTGACACTCGCATTGCGGATGTACTCGAGAAGACGCTGGACCAACTCCTGACTAAATTCTTTCCTCAACCCTCCGACCCATTCCTGAGGCTGACCCAGCGCATCCCTCCTCCGCATCTACTATGCTTGACATCCAACCTGATATTCGAATGTCAACATTAATACACAATTTGAGTCACCACACAAGAAATTGAGAGCAACTACGGCTGACTGCCCCTGGACATCACACAACACCTAAGCTGGAAAACACAATATATGACAACCTTACAATTCACTCACCAAAGTCTCTGAGATTTAAGTTTTGTAGAGAGAAGGGGGGGGGGGGTGGCACAGCTGATAATTACCTATCACATTCTTTTATCTCTGTGATCTAGAATTTTGCAAACCTGTTAAGCAATACAGTACTTGCATTATACAGTATTTTAATTTCATTGTTACCTTACCCTGTTAAACAAAATCCACTTTCCATTTCAGAACATACACCATTTTGAGATTTCTGATTCCCAGGGTTCTGATGGCTTATATGAGAAGAGAGTGAAAACATCTACTGCAACTGACATCTAATAAAGGCATGTAGACTGTTTTGTCAAGCCAATTTAAATCCTATATGCCATTAATAAAATAGAAAATGTTAAAGGCTGTTTGTGTGCGCATGATACAGCAGTACTTTACTGATATTTGGGCTTCAGGCAAAAGCCATACAAAGGAACCGTCGAGTTATTCGGCACTTCCGAATACTGTTCTCTTCTGGCTATCTTATGATTGATGGTGATGAATATGCAAGCCTTTTATTTGTATAGCAACATGCTTTATATATATTCCACTAATCCATAGATATTGTACTGTATTAGAAAAATATTCAAAAGGAAAAAAAGTGATGAATTAACTGTATATTTGTTTTAAATTAAAACATTTTGTTTATTATTATGTATTAGTGTTCTACAATATTCTATTAGTTTTATTATAGTTTGTCTTCAGTTCTTGTTCCTTTTAGGAATTTCATATGAAGGGAGTGAGAGGTGAGGATGTTAGCCTCATGAAAAATTATCTCCAGAAACCGTTGTGGATGTTTTCTTTATGACTTAGACATGTTAGAATAGTTTATACAAAGGCATCAGTGTTACCTAGTGTAACAGTCACCAGAGTGGAGGAGAATGCCTCGTTAAACTGAACAAGTAACAGACAGAAAGGAGCACAAAGTTTCATAAGTGCACAAGTAACACAGTTGAGAGAGTACCACAGAGATCCACCAGTAATACGATGAGTCACAATAACATGGCAGAAGTATAGGCACCCAACCCACAAATCTAAAAATGATGAATACATAACTTGATAAGTTTATGACAGCCCAAAAACATCATCAGTTCTCAATTTTGATATTTGTGGGTTGGGTACCTCATCCATCAGTAACTTATTTGTACCCTGTAATAAAATATATTTCAAATATTTTGAATTGTAATAAATGAGGTAAGTTACAGTACTGTATTTACATTTTATGTTACAAGATTTGTACCCTGTAATAGAATATGTTTCAAATATTTTGAATTGTAATAAATGAGGTAAGTTACAGTACTGTATTTACATATTATGTTACAAGATCAATGGCCTACAATTTTTGTGACAATTTTGTTCAATTTTACTTCATGAAAGGAGACAAGATGTTAATAAGTTCTCTCAGAGTACAGTACACTCACCATGCACCACCACCACGGGATGGTCTACTTAACTACATTGTTCTTGATTGATGACATTTTCTTGTCGTAACTTATAGTGTCCTAACAGTCTAGGTCGGGTTGTTCTTGATTGACGACATTTTCTTGCCGTAACTTATAGTGTCCTAACAGTCTAGGTCGGGTTGTTCTTGATTGACGACATTTTCTTGCCGTAACTTATAGTGTCCTAACAGTCTAGGTCGGGTGCAGGTGTTGCTTTCACAATATTTATTTTATTTTGAAAAGAAGGATGAGTTGTACAATACTATTAGGTACCTATCCCATAAAGGGATACCGTATGGTTTGTCATTTTTATTTTCCTTGTGATGTCTTTATGAAACATCAGCATTTTGACTTGACGTTTCCACTATGGCACATTGGCTGTCACTGTTCTCTTAATTTTGGTAAAATTATTGCTAAAACAAATTTGTCATTCATATTTTTTATTACATTTATAACAAGAAAAATAACAGCTCTTCTTCAACCACCAACAGGCCCACACATGGATAATAATAGCATAAGAGAGTAAATATTTACAATGAATTAGTGAGACTAATTCTATAATAAATATTTATTATCTTATGCTATTATTATCCATGTGTGGGCCTGTTGGTGGTTATAAATAGGAGCTGCATAGCATGGGCCAATAGGCCTTCTGCAGTTCTTATGCGGCTCTTATTTGTATCCACTTAATTCCCATTCATTTTTCGTTGTAAGTCACCTCACTTCACCTCTCTCTCCTGCCTATATATATGTCCAATACTTGACTTGTAAATCATAATCATTCCTTCTGAAGATGTATTAATATACGAAAGTACTTAAGGAAATTCCTGTTTCAATTCTTCCTCCGTGGTCTGACACTCACATTTTTCATCACATGTTAATTTTTGTGATTTACACACTTACACACACACAAAATCAATTCTCCAAAATTCATTTTTATTTCTGACATAATGTGCCCATTATTGAATCCAAATGTGAAATGATCAAAATTTCTTAGCAAACTGGTGAGGGAGGGAGAGAGGGAGGCAGCAAGCGAGGAATGGAGGCAATTAGCAAGGGAGTGAGTCAGCAAGCAAGAGGAAGGAAGGAGAGAAGGAGCGAGGGAGTGTGGGAGGGAGGCAGGGCTGGGCAGGGCAGGCACCTTCAGCTCCCAGACTCCACATCACACTGGGTTGATAGGTAAGTACAACACCAGACAGCTGATGATTCCTTGGTCATGCCAGACCATATAAGTCTGTATTCTTGTAGGTCATTTATGTAGACAATGAACATTACTGGTGCAGAACTGAACCCTGCAGTACTCCACTTGTGACATTTCTCCAGTCCGACACATTGCCTCCGATTGCTGGCCTCATTTTCCTATCAGAAAATTTTTCATCCATATTAGAAGCCTCCCTGTCACTCCAGTATGTTCCAGTTTTCAGAACAACCTCTTCTATGGAACTCTGTTGAAAGACTTTTTTAGGTCCAGATAAATGCAGTCAACCCAACCATCTCTTTCCTGTAAAATCTCTGGCTCTATCATAGAAACTAAGTACCGGTAAGTTCATTACACAGGAACTTCCAGATCAAAATCCATATTCTGTGTATTCTATAATTTTTCTCCAGGTGTTCTACCCATTTAGTTATAAATATTTTTTCCAATATTTTGACTTACGCTTTTCAATGATACAGATTTATAATCGAGGGGGGTCTTCCCTGCTACCACTTTTGTAGATTGGAATTATGTTAGCCATTTTCCACATACTTTATCTTCTAGGACTCCTGTACACAGTGATGCTTTATAAATCCATTGAAGTGGAATGCCGAGCTCAGGTGCATATTCTCTCATAACCCAAGGCTGTGTAGATTATATGAAGCAGAGTAATAATGATGTCATTGGTACTCTTATTTTGGAAATGGAACCCAAACTGGCAGAGACTTATTATGTTCAATTTTACGACAGAAGTAAAGCTGTTTGTAAATAATTTTTCAAATATTTTTTATAGTACCAGGAGTTCCTGGCTCAAGTCTGAGGAACTGTTTGCAAACTTCCTCCTGTAAGAGCTGTAAACAGGCCTCATATGTTCTGCTGACTTGGATCACAAGGGTCACAGGAAAAGAAACTGCACTCACTCGAGGAACAGGCACATCAGAGGCTCTCTACCTTGGGAGAGAGGAAGAGTTGGCATTCAGTAGTCAGGTGTTCAGTAGAGTCTAAACACATGGTTCAACTGATAGATGTACAGTACAGTGGAACCTCGGGATACAAACGTCACTCTTTACAATTTTTTTTGGGTCATGAGCTCAATTTCTTCGTAAAATTTGAATTGGGTTACGTAGTTTGTTGATACATCTATGGGTTAACCGAGCTCATGGTTCATGGTGGCACAGGCGACCACACTTCCAGTTTACCAGTACCTCCCGCCTAGTGATGATTGTGCTTGAATTCTTTGTAAAGCATTTCATTGTTTTCAGCTTTTTTGTTTTTTAAACATAAAAGTAATTACTGTATTATATGGGCCCCAAGAAAATCAGGGGTAAGGTTCAACCTAAGAAAACACATGTAAGGATGATCATAGAGGAAAAACAAGAGATAACTTGTAAACATGAAAATGGAACACGGGTTTTTGAACTAGCTAGGCAGTACAACAAATCTATGTCAATGATATGCACTGTACCTGCTAAGATATGAGTGCTAAAGTGGCAAAAGTTATTATTAATTTGGATGCATAACAAGGAGTTAGCTGGTGATAGCGTCTCAGAGGGCTACCACCCGCTATCATGCAAGGCTATTGCATGAAGATCTTATAAAGAAAACCTCTGGAACGAGTTATGTAGATACAACAAAGTTTAACGTAAGCAGGGGATGGTTTGAGAAATTTAGTAAAAGTAGCAGCATTCATAATGTTGAGAGGCATGGGGAGGCTGCCAGCTCAGACAAACCAGCGGCTGAAAGATTTGTTGGCAAATTTAAAGATTTTGTAGATAGTGAGGGATACCTACCACAACAAGCATTTAATTGTGATGAGATAGGGCTATTCTGGAAAAGAATTCTGGAATTACCCAGGAGAAGTCATTGCCCAGACACAAGCCTATAGATAGGCTGACTTTTGTTCTGTGTGATAATGCAAGTGGGGATTTGAAAATTAAACCCTTGCTTGTGTATCATTCCAAAAATCCAAGGGTTTTCAAAAAATATAATGTGCAGAAAAGCCAAATGTGTGTGATGTGGAGGGCTAATAGTAAGGAATGGGTGACAAGGTAATTTTTTACCGAGTGGGTGAATGAAGTGGTTTGCCCTGCCATCAAAAAAATCTGTAGAACAGTTTGCCACTCTAAGGCCCTGCTTCTCCTCGACAATGCTCTTGCTCATCCTCAGGCTTGGAGGATGTATTATTCGAAAAATTTAGTTTTGTTACAGTAAAGTTAAATTTGAAAACCGAGGTATCACTGTATGTCACTTCTCTTACAATAGAAGAAATGAAGTGATCTGGCTTCCTCTTCTACTATATTTGTACTGATTAGTAAGTCCTCATACATTTATAATGATAATTATTTAAGTGGAAGTGAAGGACACAATACAATGTTCTCGTAAATTACGTATATTTATGCATTTATTATGTATATTTAAATATACCATTCACCATGGTCATACAGGACATTAATCACCTATGTTTTTTATCATACATCAAGAACACAGTAGTAATGCACTGGAGGTTTCTTATTAGCTCTGAGAGTTACCTATCCAAAATTTGCTTTGTTACATAATGCAGTTAGTTCAAAATAGGAAACATTCGTGTACAGTACAGCCAAGATTATATTAAGACATGCATATTGCAATCCCCTAAGATTTTGGTGGTCTGAAAACAAACTGGAGATTTGTTTTCCTGTACGAGTGTTTTAGCAGTGTTTATCTTTTCCTAATACAGTATGGTATTACATTTTCTGAGAGCATACGAGAGAGAGAACTGGGCACCCCTTCTAGTATATAACACTATATGCTCAGTATATTTAATTAGCTACTATATCTTCCCTCCTGTCTTTTTCCTCTAGTGTCCATTCTTGTCCCCATTTCATCCTTATTTTCTTACAATAAATTGTGTCCAAACCTTTGTGTGTTTCTATCCTTTACCAGCTGCTTGATCTTTTAACTAAAATGCATCATATTTGCATTCTCTGATGCATACCAATTTACCTGCCTAAAGCACTTTACACATTTAAATTTATAACCAAAATATTCAATTCTCCTAATATGCTTAACATCAGCAAAAATATTAATGGCAATGTTAATATCCATTTAAGTGCATTTCCCAAGTGTTTCTATATTAACAATTAGTGAGAAAGCGGGAGACTGGAGTGCTTGATGGCAGCAATATTGTGTTTACCATCTTGGTGAAGTTGAAGACTGCTTATTAAATACTACAGTAGTAGTAGGTAGACTTAATTTTCATGGTGAAAAAAATTGGGTTTAATAGTTTCATTACTTCTATATAGTGCTCATAGACTGTATTGGATGTTGTAAATAGCTTACAATGTAAACTTAAGTAAAACCATGATAGCTCATTGACACCCCATAAACATTGCAAATAGTATATCCTGCAAAAGCTTGCTTTTACATGAAAATATGTACTGTACTAAGTTTTTGTTTCATATAAAACACCTTTTCCCTAAGAAATGTTTAGAAATACAATATTGAAATACAAAAAGTTAATCTATACTAACCAACAATTTTTGTTACAAAAATATGCAAAACTTTGCTTTATCCACATCATCTCATACTATAATACGTAACGTACTCTTGCTTCTGCACAGTGACATTTAATGTCGTTGACATCTATACAGGCAAAAAATTTACACAGTTTAAAATGATAAATTCTCAGTGGCACACTGATGGAGTTATCGGCATTAAGGACATGATGGCTTTCATGACTACTGTATTATAAATACATAAATTCAACCACTCTTAATAGAACTGATGACAATTGAAACTATGCCAGAATGAAGTTTATATTAAACTTGATTAACTATACTGTATGTATATTATATATATATTAAATTATATATATATATAATTTTGTATTTATTTAATAAATTTTTCACCCTGAAACACATTGAATTTTTTCACAAGATTAAAAAAAAAAAAATTACAGTATACCATTATGTTTTGGCCAGGGTCTCGAGGAACACATCCTGTGCAGAACTAGAAGTTTACTGAACATTTTTCTCAGTGGCATTGCTTAGCTTATGTGTTTTACTGAACAGCAATGAAACTATATGGACAATAATATATACTGTATATAGGATATGGCAAATGACAAAAATATGAAATCCAATTAGAGGTGTGCACAAGTATATAAATTACTTTCCACTATTTAATCTAAAGCCCATGTATAACATTAATAAGTTTATGATTATACTTTTTAGTATAATACCCATTGCATTCTCTGATGCATACCAATACTGCAAGTACACTTGCAGTAGTAATGTTATCACCCTAACAATTGAACCATGTGTAAAATATATTTACAGTAATTGAACAATAAATAAATGAAATACTTAGCATTGCTTTATTTAAACCACGTCTTGTGTTCTCATGTTTTACTCCTTTAAGGTTCCCACATTTTTGTTTTGTTACTTGATCCATGACCCATCTTGTAGGAACATTCCATTACATGCTCAAATTTTAAACTATTTTTTTCATGGCACAAATAATGTTTAATACCTCAGTAAAGAGTCAAACACTGTCTGCCCCCTGTATCAACCTGTATTGATAATGTACTATAATTGGGTTTTGTGTAAGTTTGTATGTACAGTATATGGCTTCTCTTGGCCAGGGACATGAAGCCTATTAGGTATCAATGTCGCCCTAAACCAACTACTGACCTTCCCCAGGATGCAACCCACAACAGTAGTCAAACTCCTGAGGTACTATTTACTGATAGTTGGAAAGAGGCATCAGTTGAGAGGAAATGTTGCCCAAATGCTGCTGTCCTGCTACAGTAATTGAACCCAAGATATTTTGGCTGTTACGTAACAGGTGCTGATGACTACAGTGCCACAGGATCTCATACCTATTTATAGTTTTTTTTTTTTTAACCATGCATCATATTAGAACATAAGAATAAAGGAAACTGCAGAAAGCCTACTAGCCCATATGAGGCAGTTCCTATTTACTGTGTATGTCAATTTACATTTAAAAACAAAATTTTAGTCTTTTTTTAATTACTTTTGTAAAGCAATTTTGTACTCTATTTGACTCGACTAAATCTGATGCACAAATTATAGTTTGGTTTGTGCTGAAACTGTATTTAAGTAACTGACATTTATGTACAATAACAAAATTGTGAATTAAAATACCCATTTCTGGAAGACTTTATGGACACCTGCTTTCTTACAAGCAACGATGAAAGTAACAAAAATTACAAACACTTTCCCACTTGTTTCTACAAGGTTTTCAAACTTCTGAATCACATTCCAGGACTGAATATCAACCAACTCAACTGCTTAATACTGATAGCCAACCTCGAGTATTAAATCTTGTGTCAAGATGTTAAAAATTCAGAAAATGGCTGGATGAAACTGATGAACTGCAAACTCCATTGGTGGGAAGAAAAAATGGTAAATGCAAATTTCTTAGCATAGAAAAAAGATAGCAATGCCTTATACTGCATCAGTAATAGTCATGGGTAGATCAAATTTCTGAGAGCAACTTGAGAGTCTGAGAGCAGGCAATGCAAGGCTTCAGTGCACTAAATAAATATAACGGTGCTAGGATTTATAATAATAAGCATCGCCAGTAAAAGTACAAATATCATCCTCCAGCTTTATCTAGCACTGATGAAAACCTACTTGGATTATGACGTGCAGTTCTGATCACTGTGGTACAGATTGGAGAAACTCGCTTGAGAGAACACGCACAATGATGACAAAGCCCATCATGCCTAGTATGAGGGACCTTTGTTATGAAGACTGACTGGAATGTTTCAACCTGAGCTCGCTAGAGACAAGTGGGAATATGAACAAGGTTTACAAGTGGGTTAAGGGGCATAAATAAGGGGATACAGACAGGGTTCTGGAACAGTCCACAAGCAATGGATGCAAGCTGGAGAAATGTAATTTTAGGATGGATACAAGTAAATACTGGTTTGGAAACAGGATTGTAACGAGTGGAATGGCCTGCCAGATTAGCATAACAGACAAACAGTTACAAAGGTATCATACACAGTATGGACCAACAAGCCTACTGCAGTACTCCCTAATTTATATATTGTTATTACTGAAACAAGGAGTGCCATTACACCTGCCTTCAATGAAAACACCAAGACACACTCATACTCATCTGATTAATCTACACTAGGATACCTAAGAGTAGATTACACACATTTGCTACATGATTTCTGACAATCATCTGATAAGACAACACCTCACAGCAATTTCATATATTTATAAATTTATGATGTACTATGATGTAAATACCGATGACCTCATGCTTTCTTGGCAGCTTATCCAAAAGTGCCAGTTTTAAGTTTTAGGGGTGAGCTGAATGAAGTTAATGATAATGTACAGGAGTTAAAGCTACCACTTCAAAAAAAAAAAGTTATGATAAAGCTCTTAGAGCAAATGGAGGGGAAGGCATAGTTTGCTCTCTGGCCACTCTTGGTGCCAGTGGAGGGCTTCATGTCCCACATGACTGTCATGGGGGCCTGAATACATTGCATTCATTCCCATATCCCTGGATATAACAGGAGAATTTATGAAATTTGTGCATCATTTTGAATATACTATATGTAGGTAATGTGTCATTGTTGGATGCAGCAAAAAACTTGGAGAGCATTCTGTGATGACTTGAGAAGAACATTTGAAGGCAATAAGTAAAGCCAAGGAGCAGAGTAAATAGTACAATATGGAAGTGGTACAGACAGACATGCAAGATGAAGTCAGTGGCAGGCTAGTTTACTCATCAAAATAGCCCAGGAAAGTCATAAACCGATGAAGAATATTGAGTTCTATGCACTTTGGGCCATGGGGAAAGTCTGGAAGAAATGTTATGTCTGGTTTCTATTTTGTAAGTGACGAGTATCCATGGGTTCCATTCAGTGTAAGTGCCAGAAATGAGATAACCCCATAGTGGAGAACATTGCCTCAGCAAGGCTGCTTGTGGGAAGACGAAAGCACACCTCCTTGGTGTGTATCTCCCTTATGCTGGAGACTTCCTGTTTGCTATCCCTAATTTTGCGTTCAGCATCCACCTGGATCTGGCCCTAAATATTGGTCTTACCCTGTGCCTTGCTGCCCATCTCTACCAAACACTGGTGTAGCTGTGGCTGTGTGTTGGTAGTCATGATCTCATCTGTTCAAAGTCAGAGGGAAAGACTGCCAGATGCAAGGCAGTCAATTACATCAAGAAAAGTTTGGCCACAGCTAAGTGTCCAGCACAAAGGTAATCTCAATTGTGCAGACCTGACAACAATGCCTAAATGGAGTTACCCTGCAACCATAAAGGTTTGGAAAACAGGTTGTGAAGGACTACACATTTACACCTACATTGGCTGATACCTATCCACCTAACAGTACAGCTGAGGGAGGTGAGGCGGCCTCCTTCAGGGAGACCCAGAAAACTAAGTACAGCGACCTAGAACATTGTTATAGGTTTGTGCCAATAGACTCTGAGACCCTGGGAGCCTGGGGTGAGTGTGCACTAAAGATCTTAAAGAAAGTGTGTGAGGAATTAGTTAGGCAAACTAGAGACTAGAGTGGACAGCTACCTTTTCCAGCACCTTAATGTTGCAATCCAGAGAAGAAATGTTTGCTGCATCTTGGGCATGCATCCTATCTCTTCAGAGCTGGATGAAGTCTTTGAACAGTGACTGGTGTGTGTGTGTTTTCTATAAACCGTAACACAGTATGTGTAAATATATATATGTCATCGCTTTGATTAGGCCACTAATGTGTTAGTGGCCCTTGGGTAAATTCTGGTAAAAAAAATGATTTTATATATATATATATGTGTGTGTGTGTGTGTGTAAATATAAATAAAAGTACCCAGTTTCCTAACAAGCTCAATTTGTTTAAAAATCTATTTTTTTTATCTTAACATGTGGATTGATAGATATGTTTAATGCAGTTTTCTTTGGCCAAAACTAACAAGAGCAATTAGATCCAACCTAACTGTACCAATTATGCCTCAATACTGCCAAACAAATGTGAAACAAGTAATTTGCCATTTTTCCAGCTAAAAAGTTAAGTCTTTATACTGTATCTAGATTTAAAATACCATATTTACACTTAAGTAAAAGACAAACCCAGCTTTAGTGTGTTCATCAACTAATGGTTTAACTACTGCTGCTGACTCTTGACACCTGCCAAAGCAGTGAAGGTTGCTCTCTGAAACATTTAACAAAATCCTTAATATACTACTCTGCCTTGAATGTTGCAAATAGTGAATTTTATTAACTCACTGTTAAATGTTTTATTGTGAAAGTTCCCCTATATTACCGTTAATGCCAAAGGAATATCTTTACGCTGTCACACATTTTCAAGGAAATATTATTTTTTAAGCCCTTTATGATTTTACCTTAATAGTAAAGTAGCTAAAAGAAGGTTTACGACAAAGGATTAGATGCTATAGGAAGTATGGTTTACAAAAATAAATGATTATTATAGGAGGTTTGCATTATGTTAGCCACAGTATGGATACTAACAGTATAAAAGTTTACTGGGAGCATACCAAGACCTCCTTTAATCAGATCTATAGACATTATATTGGAATGTAAACTCTTCATTAGACCTTCAAGCTGTGGTGAACATAGCATGAACAATGCAATGTTCTATTTTTTGTCCTTATCATACAAATTTAAAGCTTTATTCCAAGTCTCAGTAAACAGTATTAAAACCCTGTTCACTCCGGAGCAGGTTGGTGTACGGCGCGAGCACCTTGATACGAGGGAATGACTAGTCACAAGCACACCGTCATCAACAACAATGACCATGCTGCTCACCTTAACAAAACTGTTCTTCAGCTTCTTTAGTCTTAAGCAGCTCTTCCATATCACAAATTTTACTGTATTTAAAACTTTTCACAAGTTAAATTTACTTAAAAAATATGTTTTGTTTTAAATTTAAAAGACATTTTAGACTTTTAACAGATCTTTAACATCTGCATAATCTTCTATATAATTACAGTAGGTCATTAATGCTATGAATACCAAAATTAATTTAGCTAAAATACCATGAACATACATTGTAAACAAGATTTTCTAAATTTAAGGAATGAAATTCAAATGAACACTATACTGTATACCATACAAGTAAATTACATACAGTTATTAGGAAAATAAATAAAGCTATATAATGTACATTAATGTAGTTAGAAGTCAGATTTACTGTTAAGTTTTGATAATTATAAGGAGAATAATAAGAATAATAATACTCCCTGCTAGACCTAAAATACACTTCATATTACGGTTCTTGCGTTGATAATGTTCCGCTCTCTTCAGCTGTTTTGCACCATCTTCCACTTTAATGGCGGCATGTTCTACATTAAAATCTATTCGATCTAAGATCGTTCCCTACGAAAGAAAAGGAAAACACTTTATATCAATAAATGTCTTGTACTTTACAGTATTTAATTTAATTTACCATAGTTTTAAGATTATTTCTTTATCACTTGCAAGTAAGACATTTTTTAATATATACCATAGTGGTGTATTTTTTATAATAAATTTTCTCCGATTTGTATCAAAGTCAGGTGAAGTTGATTAAACTGCATTATTGTATTTTGCACAAATATTAGTGTTTTATTTTCTTTTTTGGAGGGAGGTGCTCAAAAAAGCAAAATCCGGGGTGAGCATTACAATATAATGTAGAGCTTGGAATTTGTTTACATAAACTCTACCACAACCCATCACTGTCATCTCTTGCCAAAATGGTCAGAACATTGTAAGTTACCACCACTGACTTGTACAGAAGGGAATTTCCATAGTACGACAATGGGGGATGAGGAATGACATGTCTCTGAGCAAAAGTCATAACATAAGTCTTGGTTGGAGAGAACTTGAAGTCATGATTGGTGGCCCAGGAAGACACGTTACTGACTAAGTTGGAGCTGGCACTGGAGGAAAGAAGTGAGGAAAGAGAAGTCATCACTGTGACAGCAGACCCAGTGGGCACAATATCCAAGAGCTGCTTTGGTTCAACGTTGAATCAATGTTATTAATGTTAAAAATTAAGTCAATGTCGTTGATGTTGATTTGTGAGAGTGCACTACATTCCCTTTGCTCTTGGAATATTATGCCTACTGGGTATTGAGATCAACAACATAACAGGCTAAGAAAATGCCTGGGAGAGTGGAGGAAGATCACTTAGGGTAACTAAGAAAAGGTTTGTGCTCAGAACACTATCTTAAGAGTGTTTTCATCCAATCCTCACTATCTCATCCAATCATTTCTGTTCTGCCTGGAATTCGAACCTGGAATTCCCGATTGCGAGTCAAAAACGAACCCCACTGAACTACTGGAACCCTTTTTCTTAGTTGCGGATGAAATTGGCTCAAAAGTTTGAACCCAGTTCATTTGTGACAAACACCAGATCCACAACAATGTAACCAAACAAATGAAGGACAGACATTACATAGAAAAAATGCACTATGTACATTTTTAATGTTTTAAACATTAAATATGTTGGGAAGACTCCCAACATACTATCTTGGGGAGTCTTCTCCTAGACATGAGGGAGTCGGGTGTTTACAGTAATGGTGGGAACACAGGATTTCCAACTCTCATGTTCAGCAGTGCACATGGCCCTGTGGGCCACTGCAATCCCCTTTTGAAACTAAATAAAAGATTCAGACGTTTTCTGGAATTTGTGCTTTTTCCAGGCTGATTGCTTACAGCATACAGGCCATGCAGTCTGAATTACACCAAAGAATGCACCTTCTGCATGCCACAAAAGGCATAGTGAGGAACAGAGTGAAGGGCAGCATCTAATAACGTCATGAAAAAGGAGGGAGAGAGAGATAGATAAGGCAGACCATAGAGATAATACACATTTATTAATTAATATACACAGTGTATCCAACAGAGCCTAGAAGCACCAGCAGCTTGAGCTAAGTCCTTAGCACTTGAAGTACAAACGTTAAATAGAAAGTGTCTGGGACAAATTTCCATATACCTTACCTGCTCAGACACAAGTTGTGCCACATCTCGAAACAGTTGGTTAAGTTGAACTGTTGACTGCAATATGTGTTGGACAGTTCTGTCCCTCTCCTGTACCTGTTGTGTGTTGTCGGCCAGGAACATCAGCTGCTCTTGTGTCCAAGCTCTGTCAAAAACAACCAGGTAAATCATAAACAAGAGAAATAATCATAAGCACTAAAAATTAAAGACCCAACTGCTATCTATTATTACACAATCATGTTTTAGTGCTGGCTACACAGCACAGTTTGGTACATCTGACCAACATAGTTCTCTCAAGGACCAAGAGCAATAAAGTCCTCCGAGATCAGAAGCCTTGTGGAATGACCTTCATTGAAGAACGGACTTGTACTTTCCAGAATGATTAACAAAATCAACCTTAGATCTCTCATTCCAAAACAAATTGAATAATTTGATTCTCAAATACTACTCACTGATTTTGGCTGGAACTGGAGCTGCCATCAAATGTTCCATATTCACTGTCATAATCACCTCCTCCTTCATGGACAAATGAGCTGGTTTTCTTTATGTTATTCATAGCTGTAATAGAAATTTCCTTGTTACTAATCAAGATTTTGATTACTGAACATTAAAAGCAAGGTAGACCTCCTGCTCAACATCAGGTATAGAGTTCCTTTATATATAATCAAAAGCACTGAATTTCATTAACACACATTTTATTTCAATTTAGAAAAAAAGATTCTTATTAATCCTGATAAAACACCAGCTTTCATATGCAATTGATAGTCATGCCACTTTTATTTTTCCCCAATTATTTTCTATTAAACCTAGAAAATTTATAATGTACCTGTATTTTGGACCTTAACAGTAACTAGAGTACATATGGTTTGATGTAGAAAATCAAGGGTAGTATCCTCAATCTATTTACCAGATGATCCTTCAGGTGGTTTAAGCTGGACAAACAGTATTTGTGTGTTGTGCTGTGTTAATGCAGCTGGTATGCACAAATTGAAATTACTTGTGACTGGGATTAGCAAAAACCTCAGGGCTTTAAAGTTAACTATGTGCCTCCCTGTTATTTATAAGACCCATTCAAGTGGATGGATGTCTTGAGTAATGTGCTGAGTGGTTTAATAAAAACTTTATGCCCGGATTAAGGACTTTCGGGCAAGTCCTTAATCCTATGTTCCCTGGAATACGACCCCGCGAAAAATCATTTAACAATCAAGTACCCATTTTACTGTAGAGTTAAACAAAGGCTACAGTTAAGGATTTGTGCACAGTAAATCCTCCCCGGCCAGGATACGAACCCAGGACAAAGCGCTCGCGAAACGCCAGGCGAGCGTCTTACCACTACACCACGGAGACTGCAAATAAATTTAGCACAGAGACTAATAAATAGCAATATCATTGGTACGTTCTTACCACCGAATACAACTTCATTGATCCAACCCATGAATCAAGGGATAATTAAGACCCTTAAGCACCACTATAAGAAGTTTGCCAGATGTTTCAATAATCAGCCAGGAATAGTTAAGGACTTTTTTGAAGTCTTCACAATAAAGTCAGCTATCTGGACTATTGCTAGTGAATGGGATGAAGTAAAGCTAACACTAAGATATGGATGGAGAATCTTTGGCCTGCTTTGGGTCTGTTTCCTGAGGAAGATAACACAGATTTTGAAGGATTTTGGGCCAAGAAAGTTAAGAGAAGAAATAGAAGAAAAATTAAGAGAGGAACTCCTAGCCTATGTCAGAGGGATAAGACCCCAGAATTGAGAGCAGAACTGGTGACAGAAACACTAGAAGATGACGTAGGCGAGTGAATAGATTATGACGAAGATGCCCCGACCTTTCAAACCATGACTGATAAAGAGATTATGCAATAAATTGTAGATACAGAAAAAAAAAAGATGGTGAGAAATAGGATGACGAAGCTTCAAGGAAAAGGTAACATGGAAAAAATTCAGCAATATTTTGAAGGCATTCTTGCATTAATGGAAACGCATAGCAGTGAGTTTGCCAATAAAGACATGATGAGCCAGTACAATTTGTATATGAAGTTTCTGCAAACAAGAACGAAGGGAATGAAACTAATTTAAATTGAAGTGTCTTTTGCAAAGGCTTCCAAGAAAGTTCACATTAAACCATCTGCACCTGACTCGTCACATGTTGACCCAAACACCTCATCACCATTAATCTTCACGTAAGTCAACCGAACACAATCAACATCCCCCACCGCCTCTTCCATCTAAATAACAATGCTCCATCAATAATAAGAAGTTAGCAAACAGATCAGAACTTCTCATATTGGTGAGTACAAACAAAATTATAGTACTGTACTGTTGAATTTTTGTTATAAAATTGTTGAATTTACCCATAGATTTTGAGAATGATGAAGCACTTTTAATGACACAACAGGTTATTGTTATCTGCTCATAACCTATTGTGAGCAGATAATAGGTTACCTGCTCATAACCTGGTCCCCCTGTATATAAAACTATAAGGTATCCCAACCAAAAAACTAATACACTGTTATTATACTTACAAGTGGTAAATGCCGAACAAGTTGTTACAAACTCATTTTTCACCTCTTGTAATGCAAATCCTAAGGCCCGAACAACATTTTTGTTGAGTGATTCTTCTCGTCCTCGGCCACCACTGTGCTTGATTTGAATCATCAGCATCTGACATCTCTCCAAAGACTGATGACAGATACAAATAAATTATAGAAAATCAAAGGTTATTTCATGCAAGTTTACTCATCTATCATTGTTAGTTGAACACAACATAAAGCCTACAATAGCCTACACACCTCAATTTGAGGTTTGTTCACTTTTATTTAGCATTCCAATTTCATGTTTACATAATTGGGTGAAACAATTATTTGAACTTCAGAGGTAAATTAAATTTGAAAGCTTTCAGGGCAATTATTAACTGACATAATCTGCGAGATCTATTATATAATGTCATTAACCAATCTAAAGTATTGCACACAATTACGGTATATAATACCCAAATCTAATAATACCAAGTACAGTAACAAAGAAAGTACAATACAGTACATGTTATAAGGTATATCTCAAAGAGCTATGAAGAGAAATGTAACTTTGATGAAACCCTTAACACTGCCTAGCATAGTGTAATACTAAATATGAAGATTCTCTTGCAAGTAAGAATAGTATGAAAGTGCTGCCTTGTGGCACAGGTTCAACTATTTCATTCAATAAGCTAGGTATGTGGCTCTATACAAATAGTGTAATGGTTAACAAACATCCTGGTAGAAGCATTTATAAAGGTTTTCTATACAGTAATACTGTATACAGTACAGTACAGTATAGTGGAACCTCAATGCTTAGGATATATCAAGGTTTCTGGATGATCCATTTTTTCAGCTTTTCATTATTTATCACCATACTATTTTAGGGATTTTTCTTACAAAGAATAGTAGTGTGTGTTTTTGCATAACATAGTAATAAACGATGCATTTTTAATCTAAACAAATCTTAACTGTACTCTGCATTTTATTTATTTACGTACAGTACATTTAAAAATAATCGATAATAGTCTCTGAGTTGGTCCAGTTTCTAAAGACTGTCTTGATACTGTAATCTTGGCTACTTGATCAAGGTTAATAAGACTTTTCTGTGGTAAATCTTTTCCAGACCATCATGATTTCTGGTCTATTGCAATCTGAATTACTAAGCTCCCATCGTACAGTATATCAAGCAGATCCATGAACATCCAAATAAAAGCTCACAAAAGAACACACACTAACCCGTCTAATTTCATTATTGTGCGCCGTTAACTGACGTTCCTCCTCGGTATTGTCATCCAGTGAGGGTCGCCTCACCAAATAACTCTGTAGGGCTGCCACTCGCTTTGTTTTCTCTTTCAGTGTGATTATATTGTACTGGACTTCCTCTACCATGCCTGCCCAGTCTGGAAGATGGCCCTCTCCAATTCCACTGAAACCATTTTCTAATTCTTCACTGTGCACCAGAGAATCTTGATCAGAATATGCCTGTACCAATAGAGGAGTGGAGTAATTTAATTATTTGCATCATTTAATGTAAGTTCAAAGCTATAGTATCTACGGGTGTTTCTATCCTGGTGGAACAGAATGTCCCACCAGGTTCTCCTTACCCTTCCCTGAGGGAATAACCACAAAAGAAAAGCAGGAGAAATTTCCATTAAATTTGGTGATTACTTTCACTAAATGCTTGCAACTTGTGTAAATATACAAAATTTTGTATGTGAAATTCCTTTATTATATATGCAAAATTATATATGCATTATTAACTATAATATGCATTCACTTCATTTATTTAAAGTTTATAATACTTCTGTTAACTTTAAAATGTAAAAATGTTCATTGCATACCTCATTCAATAGCTTTAGCATACTGTACATAGTTTGTTAAATGTTTATTATACTTACACTGTATTAATATCTAAATTACTGCAAATTTTCAATGTATATTTCAATCTCTAGATTTATGGAATTTAACTGTGCTTTTTGAAACTTACAAACACAACAAAATCTCTATTTACTATACACCTTAACACTATTTAATAATTAACTTGTAAGACTTGCCTGAAATCCTGTGTGTTAGTGACTGCAAGAATGTAACTCTCTACCAACATTATTGTATGACCAATTATTTCTTTCACACCAGTTTCTTCTCACTCTTTCTCAACATCAATCATGTATTTTTCCCTTCATTGGTCCTTGTTTCTACATTACCAATTTGTAACATTACAACTTCTTAACCTAATCCAATACTGCATTGCCTATTCCAACTTCAAATTTCCTTTTTTTATTTATTTTTTTTTTTTTTTACCAAAAACCTACGGAGCGAGGAAATGTTCGGAACCAGGGCAAAATCTCATCCCAAGGCACACAACTGAAGGGCATGCAGCCTCTCAAGGCCAATCCGGGAACATAGACCTGAAGTGCCTGGAAAATGGCCCAAGAAAGAGTGGCACACTGCCTAGGAACAAGTGGTCCCAAAATACTGTAGTTGGGGTTTGGCACTCCATCCAGGAATACCCAAAGAAGACAGGAAAGAGCCAGGAACAGACCAGGGCAGAGCTACACTTGAATTCTGTGAGTGACATGACAGTGATAAAGGAATAGAGGGCACAAGTGCGTATGGTAATCACATCACTGAGATAATGTTGGACAGTAGTTGGAATAGTCTTATCTTATGCACACCACAGATATCAGCACAGTCAGGAGCACAAGAACTCAAAATTTACTACCTAAATGTGGCAAGAAACAGCTGAACAGGAGAAAGAAGATGGAGGAAGAGTACCCTATATATATATATATAAGGGTCCCAGTACTACAGTCGGGTTCGTTCTCGACTCGAGAATCCCGGGCAGGACAGAAATAGTTGGGCACATCTCTTATCACCTAATGCTACTGTCCACCTAGCAGTAAGTAGGTACTCAGGAGTTATTGAGCTTGTTGTGGGGCTTCATCCTGGGCGGGGTCAGTAATTCGACCTTTGTGGTGGACCTCGATATAACCTTAACGTGTATAAATACACTCCGGCTTCCTGTCCCACGACACAATGAATTGTTAATTATTATATTCCCCACTTCAACCACTGCTGAACCATCGTCAGGGTGCCAGCCAGCCTGGCAACACCTAGTGCCACATCACGTGTTTGGGACTCACCTCGGCGCGCTTGTACATATTCCTCCTCTGTATGGCCTTGTCCCTCATGATCATGAAGATGTGGGTGAGGTTCTTGGAGGCCATGGTGAGGGAGGGAGGGTGGAGAGTGAGGGAGAGAGGGAGAGTGATGGAGTGTGACCAATATTTGTTGTTGTGGGTGACTCCCGTCGCCGCCGCCAGGTGGCTCCACCTCCCGCCACCTCACAACTCCTTAATACCAGGGTTAATTATTTATTTATTTATTTATATATGCCTGATATATATGGGTTATATGGCTATATATGATATATATGGCTATATTATGGGTTGCCAGATCCAAATTGCTGAAAGTAGCGAGCTGACTGTCTAAAAGTAGCGAATTTGTAATAAAAGTAACCCAATTTTTTGTTTAGTGACTGATACGGGTCTGAAAGTAATATATTTTGATATATAGAGTACGCTACACGATGTTAATTGTTTTATTAATATTATTTCTGCACACACACATAATATATTTACACACTATATTTTTTTTTAACCTAAAAGGGGTACCACCTCTAGCTGGTGCAAGCATAGGGACCCATAGCCTCGGAGAAGAAAATAAAGAGTACCCAGAGAAGACCTTGTGGATCCTCACTGAACACTTTGATATTTTCTTCTCCTACAACCCCTATTCTTTTAGTATGTGTGTATATATATCAAACTTTATTTTAAAATTTCATTACACAAAAAGGGTAATGCACAACCTGAAGCCCAAGTGATACCCCTGGAGCCCGACCAGTTGTGTAACCGGAGCCCGACCAGTTATTTAACCGGTGCCCGACCAGTTATTTAACCAGACCCCGACCAGTTATTTAACCGGAGCCTGACCAGTTGTGTAACCGAAGCTCGGCCAGTTGTGTAACCAAACCCTGACCAGTTGTGCAACCATAAGCCTAGCAAGTATACATCTCATCCAACACCCCACCAAGCTAAACAGTCCCAAAGCACAACCAAACTCCATTCCTAGCTCGACCAAACAAAAATCTTCTTAGATTTCTTCTTAGACCTAAAACCTTCCACTAGCCCTAGAAACCAACTATGGAGCCATATCAAACAATTGAACTATATAAAAAAAAGGAAACTCGAATTTCTAGCAAACATACAAACATAGAGCCCTAGCAAACAAACCTGAAGCACTAGTACACAAACAACCACTGGAGCACAACCATGTACGAACCGAAGCACATCCATGTACGAACTGGAGCACAACCATGCACAACTCAAAGCCCAACAAGTCACACACCTGGTGTTATGTAATCGGAACACGACAAGTTGTGAAACTGGAGCCCGACCAGTTGTCTAACTGCAAGCCTAGCATGAACGAACCAAACAAACAACCTCTGGATTACAACCATGCACGAAAGGAAGCCCGACCATGCACAACCCAAAGCCCAAGTGACACCCACGGAGCCCGACCAGTTATTTAATCAGAGCCCAACCAGTTGTGTAACCAGAGCCCGACCAGTTATTTAACCGGAGCCCGACCAGTTGTGTAACCGGAGCCCAACCAGTTGTGTAACCGGACCCCGACCAGTTGTGTAACCACAAGCCTGGCTCAAATTGTCGCAAATTTAATTGGTGATATTAAGAAGTAGAATGTGTATTTATATAATATCTTTCATAAACAGCCACTAAATCTTTAATATTTATTTAACAAAACGTGCCTGGAAGTTAAATCAACTCCACAGGACAATAAATTTGTTATATAGATACAGCGTTATTCGTTGGTATGCGTTCGCAATTTAAACTGCTCATGTCCTTTTCGTTCATTGAACACCGAACCCTACACAACCATGCACAACTCAAAGTCCAACAAGTCACACTCCCGGACTAATGCAATCGGAACCTGACAAGTTGTGTAACCGGAGCCCGACCAGTTGTCTAACTGCAAGCCTAACATGAACGAACCAAACATACAGCCTCTGGATCACAACCATGCACGAACGGAAGCACAACCATGCACGAACGGAAGCCCGACCATGCACAACCCAAAAGTCAGGTGACACCCCCGGAGCCCGACCAGTTACTTAACCGGAGCCCGACCAGTTATTTAACCGGAGCCCGACCAGTTATTAACCGGAGCCCGACCAGTTGTGTAACCTGAGCCCCACCAGTTGTGTAACCGGACCCCGACCAGTTGTGTAACCATAAGCCTAGCACGTATACATCTCATCCAACCCCCACCATTAAGCTAAACAGCCCCAGAGCACAACCAAACTCCATTCCTAGCTCGACCAAACAAAAATCTGCTTAGAGCTACCTAAAACCCTCCACTTGTCCTAGAAACCAACTATGGAGCCATATCAAACAATTGAACTATATACAAAAAAAGAAACTCAAATTTCTAGGAAACATGTAAACAGAGCCCTTGCAAACAAACCTGGAGCACTAATACACAAACAACCACTGGTGCACAACCATATACGAACCGGAGCACAACCATGTACGAACCGGAGCACAACCATGTGCAACCCAAAGCCCAACAAGTCACACCACTGGTGTTATGTAATCGGAACCCGACAAGTTATGAAACCGGAGCCCGACCAGTTGTCTAACCGCAAGCCTAGCATGAACGAACCAAACAAACAACCTCTGAAGCACAACCATGCACGAACGGAAGCCCGACCATGCACAACCCATAGCCCAAGTGACACCCCCGGAGCCCGACCAGTTATTTAACCGGAGCCCGACCAGTTATTTAACCGGAGCCCGACCAGTTCTTTAACCGGAGCCCGACCAGTTGTGTAACCGAAGCTTGACCAGTTGTGTAACCAGACCCCGACCAGTTGTGTAACCGTAAGCCTAGCAAGTATACATCTCATCCAACCCCCATAAAGCTAAACAGTCCCAGAGCACAACCAAACTCCATTCCTAGCTCGACCAAACAAAATTCTTAGCGCTACCTAAAACCCTCCACTTGCTCTAGAAACCAACTATGGAGCCATATCAAACAATTGAACTATATACAAAAAAAAGAAACCCGAATTTCTAGCAAACATATAAACATAAAGCCCTAGCAAAAAACCTAGAGCACTAGTACACAAACAACCACTGAAGCACAACCATGTACGAACCGGAGCACAACCATGCACAACCCAAAGCCCAACAAGTCACACCCCTGGAGTTATGTAATCGGAACCCGACCAGTTGTGTATCCAGAGCCCTGGAATACAGCTGGAAAGGATCATCAGGTCAAATAGGGGGACCTTTGGCAAGCCGCTGGCTTACTGCCCTCATCGAGGCCACTAGTGTTAGTGGCCCTCAGGTAAATTCAGTTCCCGGAGTGTCCCCGCTTCTTCCTGTTGGGAAGTTGTTCATGTATTGCAGTATCATACTATCATGCAAGAGGAGCCACACATCTATGGTTCATCCAATATTATCAGCAGACTTCTAGATGTTACTATACTGCTCGGCTTAGACTCGGTTACAAGTATCTCTGGGAATTCTCATTATCTGCTGATGTAGATCTGACCAAATGTAAACTGTATATCAAGATTGTAACTTGCTTAGCTTCAGTCCCTGAGCCCATTATGTGCCTCTGTAACCCTTTCTACTACCACCCACAAGATGGGTATGGGGTGTATAATAAATGAACTAAACTAAACTATTGCAGTATTTGTACATTGAACTGTCGCTTGTCAGTAAACTTAGTTGTTAACTATTAACTTCATGAAATAATATTACCTTATACACGAGAATAATTCTGAATACACAGCGAGAAAATTGATGAATGAGGCTTTGGGTCAGGCGGCCGCGTAGGCGAGCCTGGCCTGAGGACAGGCAACTGTAAATGCTTCTCCCTCCACATACTTCAAGTGAAAATAATTGCCAACAGAACCTAAATACCGAACCTACTATACGCATAATTAATTATAGAATATAAAATTAGTTTATACACGATAAAAACTTTTTAATACACAGTACATGAAAGTCGATAATAAATGCGTCTTGGGATGTGGGGGAGACGACCGCCGCGTTAACGAGCCTAGCCTGACGACGGGGTAGTTTAACAATGGGGAAGTGTATTCAACATAATATCCTACCTATATAATGTTGGTAAATCATGATCCCCAAAAATCTTCTACAATATCCGAGAGACGACAGACTATTTAGCATTAGTGGAATACAAACATTTGAATACTACACAACCCGGATGAAAAAAAAAATAGGGAAACAATGACCCTCGGAGACATTACAAAACTCAATGCTATAATAGCGAACAAATGTATAATGCATTAAGCATTGTAGGTGGAGGTAGACTATATATTCATGCATACCTCCCAACTGCTCAGATATATTTGCAAAAAAAAAAAAAAAATGATCAGCCTTACCTACACGGGACCGACGATGCTCACGCCACGGCTGCTTCCTGACGACTGACCGGGTCGGCGTCGATGACCCCGTAGCGACCAATCGACCCAGAGACTCCCTGCCTAAAATTATTTGAACAACGTATTGAAATTCCTAGCGTATAGCGCCAGGAATGTGTAAATTAATATTTATATGTATTATAGGCCTTTCTAAAGTAATTTATAGATCTGAATATCATATATTGTCTAACAAACGAATTATTTAAGTTAAGATTTTAATTATGCCAGATACAATTAAGTCTCATCGCACACAAGAAGATTCGTCGGCGGATTTTTTTTTATTTATATATAAAAAAGAGTTTTTAAATTCTTGTAAAGCCACTATAGCATGCATAGCGTTTCGGGTAGGTCCTTAATCCTAATGTTTATCCCGGAGTATGACCCGCCAAATCGTTAAACAACCTATTCTCTGTCGGGTGAACAGTTAAGGATTGTCGTCCAGTCAGTCCTTCCCGGCCAGGATCAAAGGGCTGGCGAAGAGCTGGGCACGTGCTTTACCACTGCGCCACAGAGACTGCTCCGTGGCGTAGTGGAATTTTGAATTTTGAAACCTGACTAACATAGCTCAACCCAACCTAACGTAACCCACATCAAACCAATCTAATCCAACCGAGCCCAATGAAGCCTAACTTTAATAACATAGCCTAATACAGCCTAGCATAACAATACATCCAGATTTAAAACAGAAAATGAGTTTAGTCGAATCGCCTCGTGTCCGAGTGTAACCAGAACCCGACCAGTTGTGTACCTATACTGACCTAGCAAACAAACACCTGCAGACGAGGAGTCACAATAAC